AACACAAGCCTGAAAAAAAGGCATCAAGTGATTTAAACAAACATAGATATCCATCTCTATGTCCAGCAACCGGTTCCGAAGGTACGAAAATAGTAATCGGTATGCAACTTTAGAAACAAACTTGAATTTTGCCCCTTTAAACCGCTGGGCTTGAGTTCCAAGCATGAAAACGTCAATGTAAATGGAATTTGTCTGTTTACCTACTAAACATTTAGAGGCTCTTAAAAACTCGTTTTCAACTGAGTGTTCTGCGTTCCGTATCGCCGAATTGGCATCATTTGAAATCAGTTGGCATTTCACTGAGCTGCGGGACACCAGAGTAACGGCCGGAGAGAAGCCTCACATAGAAAGATCGCGAACTAGCAACAATTGGCCCAGAGAGCCTTTAAAACTCCATGTTTACGGAGGCCACTCACCTTTATTTATTAGTTACCAGCAAGCTATCATAAAACACCGTGAGATTTTAAAGGAGAGTTACAAAGAATCACCTGAGCCCGCTTAGAAAACGAGTAAGGCAAGGAACTTCTATCTTGGAACTGTGCCCTCGTGAAAAGGGCAGGGAAAAGAAATAAATATTGCTGAATATTCAAGGAGTTTGAAAACATCTCAGAAAAGATCAAGGCAATAATAGAGATGAGACCGAATTGATTCGATATCATACTGCTGGAGTACTTAATCTTTTTAGCAGTCAGGAAAGTGAACTGCTATAATTGTAGTCACCTAGAATAGGAAATAAGGCGACCGACCTATTCTCTAAGATCTCAGAGATTTGAGGATTCTTACTGCCAATACTGAATAGCCCTTTGTTTTGATAGCCTTTGTTTTTAATTCAGTTGAGTTTTCACGGAGATTAAAAGGAAAGCGCATATAGAACAGTTCAGTTATTAATACTAATTATTACTGTTACAGTTTCCTTATGTCTCCAATTTCTGTTTAAAAGTAAGTAACTCAATCGACTATAAGTCCATCGGGTTGCTAGTTCGTGTCGCGGTCGCGGCAACACCCATACCCTTCAGGCGCTTGTCCGGTTTCGCACGATTTTGACTAAAATTATACTTATTATGCACCCACAGTAATGCGCGTGTTCATGTTGTATGAGTTTTCAGTGTTTCGAAAAGTTATCTGGTTGTCTTCTAATGAGTTTTGCCGATTTTCCCGTACTTTCGGATCATCCGTCTTATAAAAGAACAGCATGATACACGTATTTGTATATAATGGCTGTTTATGTTAGAGTCCTGGCTGTCAAGCTCAAAGAGACGGCGGCAAACTTCGAATAAGAAGTAGCAGTAACAGTTTGCTTCATCAAGGACTGAGAACTACAGGAAAAGTTTTGTTCAACCCTTGCATTCATTAACTTCACATCGAAACATGAAGGAGGAAAACCGTGGGACGAGAAAGATATTAAACTGGCTCCAAGATAAACAACAATCATTCTATTAGAAAATAGAAGCTGATTCAGCTCACGGCGAGACTCTTTTAACTGCAGTAACTTAAAGTTGACTGTTTCTGGAATTGTCAAGACGTCTCATTATATTTTAGAGAAATAAAAGCTACTGAAAACTTTTCAAATGTTGCGGAAGCTAGCAGCGACAAAGACGAGGGCAAATTCATGGCTACCTTGACCGGATTTTGTTATTTAAGTTTACGGCAACTAACTCGCGCGTTTTAATAACGACAGTGCTAATTAAGAGAGAAGCAAAAAATTAGGAGATAACCAGCTCCCTGGCAGCATCAAGGAAATCAAAATACTGAGGCAGGAATGCGTTCACTCCTGATAAGTCAGTGTTACAATGGAGAACATCCGTAAATTAAAGTGATCAGCTATCCGTTTTGACTGCGGCCGATGTTTTAAAGTCATGGCAGGACATTCCTTAGAAGTTTAAACTTGACAACATTAAATATATTCCGAAATAGTAGAAAATGCCTGGCACTTTGAAGGTGAAACATGTAATTATTATTATATACACCACTGATAAACAAAAATGGCTACGCCAGGGAGAATACCGGGCAAGTATTATATGTGCGAGGAACTTTCAAATGAATCTAAATCAAGAGAAATCGCGGTAAACTTGGGTCCTCAACAAATTGTATAGGCTTACGACCTAGCTCGATGCAAAACCTCTAATTATAGCTAACAAAAGAAGCGCAGATTTAGAGAGGGCAAACGAAAGGTCCCAAGGGTAAACGAGAGAGGAGACTACCGAGACACTGACGAAGTGAACCCTACGATGTACTACCGACTTCAACGCCCGAGCGCGTCTCATGCAATGTATATGAACCAACTATGTGAAGTCCCAGATACATTAGGATTGTACCACTTTTAGTGTTTGTCGATAATTTTGGGAGAAACGAAATCTCATCTCGAGAAGCCTTGTAACACATCCCAGAAAACAGAAGGATCGCCCACCAAACACAAAGGCTAACAGCCAGAATTGTTTACGGAGACAAGTCAAATGCATACCTCAGTCACGGTTGGAGTAGAACAAACCAAGAACGTGAAGCAACATAACTGGAATCGGCTATAGACCACTGATATGATCACGTCGATATTCGTCCGGTATGTCAAAATTCTGGTACCTGCAGTACTGAAAGGCTTAACCAAAGATCTGTGGCCATTCTTGAAAGTTGAGTTAACGAACACAGCAGAGTAATCAGGCGTATTCTTCAAGGTATAAACCATTGTTCATCTTGCGAAGATAATAAAAAAGATAGATGTGTAATACGTGTCTTTGTAGACTGAAAAGACACGTTTGATCTAGTTATTAGCTCCAATTTTTCTTGGCCAGCAGATGACCAAGAAAGAGATGAACTGTGGCTACTAGCCAACGGAGCCCGATGCTTTTGAACGCGAAAGTTAAAACTAAAAAAGCTGTTGACTACGTTTCGTTTGTTGTATAGATTGATTAAACATTGTATAACTTCAATTTTTCTCTTAAAGGAACAGCTAATAAAAACAAATAATAGGACGGCGTTTCAATAATTTGCTTTTTTAAAACTTTCACCCTGTCGAGGCCATGGACTGGAGGCTGAACGAAGCTCAGAACGATGAGCGGTGATCTACTATTAGATGTTATATTAATACTGAAATGTTCATCCGATTAAAGTTGAATAATTCATAGATCTGCTCGAAGCCTATTCATTTTATTTAAAAACAAAAACAAAAACAATTCTTGTCAAACATACTTGTAAACTGTTACAGGCACCAATTTACTTAGACCTTGTCCTTTCTGCAACTCGGCCACCCAGTCTCTTTTAATCAGTATTATTATCTTTTATCATATATCACGGGTGGCGATTTAATCTCGAGCAGAAGGCCGAAAAAAGAAAACACGTGTGATCTGGAGAACTTTGCTTTATATTAATAAACATATCAGATCGTTTTCCCAGATTGTTTTCCTCTTTTTTAATTAGTTCAAACTTAATTTAAAAACCGACAACACTTTCTTGGGTATCACAGGCCACGGTATTTAGTTAGTACTAGTAGCACTAAAATATTGGATGGACAGACGAAAGTATAGAAAGCATAGAAAACTGATAATTTTGCAAATAGCAGCTAGCAGTTTTCACAACCAAGGTCCATGATCAATATAGAGCAATGGATTAGAACACACTGTAGCCAAAGAGAAAAATGTAATAAACATCCATGGTCTTAGCACTCTTAGGTAGAAGTGAGACCCAGGGGCTCGAGGTCAGACTGAAAAGACAAAAAAAAATTAACACATACGGAACAAACAACATGCCGATAACCCCATCACAATGCCGCTAAATGAAAAGAGGAAAATAAGCGCGCAAGATTATCTTTAGCCTAGACAACAAAACACACTTAACATTCAGTCGCGTAAAAAAATGCGTTTTAGACATGATCCTACATGTCTGACGAATACAACGCCTTATAAACTTGAAGTACAGTTTTTTTCCGAAAGTTCCGAATAAAACTCTCCTTCCGAAATACCACAAAAATGTCATGAAGGGAACTGTTAACTCGACTTTTAAAATTCTCAGTTTTTTAATTATTTTTGGGGGTGATGATTAGCAACAGTAACGTGTTAAAAAGATAAAAACCTACAAAGATATCTTTTACCGTGACAGCAGGGTTAAAGGGAGCCAGGACTAGCGTGTTCCGGTTCCTTGACATGCCCGGGAGATTGTAACGTCCCTTTCAACATTGTTCTGATGACACCTCTCTGCTTTTGCCCCTACTGAAGATTGCAGGCTATCTAGAGGGAGTGGGGTGTGCCGGGCCAAATCCTTAGTTGCTCGTCAATACCTATGGCATTTGAGTTGAGCTGGAGCGAGTGAATTTGAGTAAAACACATTGAACATGGGGTATTTTCTTTGGTAAATGGGCTCATTATCATCATTAAAATCATTATCACCATCATCATCATCATCATTATTATTATTATTATTATTATTATTATTATTATCATCATCTTTAATTGTTGGAAATAAGAGATGTATTTAGAAAACAAAACAGCTACTGCAAACAGTTTTAGCTAAAATGTGGCAAGTCGTAAGCTGCAAGGTTAGAGAAAGGTCACAACAAGATAGCAATAACAAATAAAATAAAAAATGCTATACTCAGTGTATTCGGTTATTTCAAACAGTTTTATTAGAGCCGGCCAGCAAGGAATGCGGCCTTAGATCTTAAATGCTCGCAATTGCGCGGGTTGAAGCGCATGTTGTAAACAATTAATGCCACTCAATTGATGCAAGTATCAGGAAGAACTCAATCTTTATTTCTATAATATTAAAACCTGGCTTCTTTTTATAAGAGTTATTCAAGACCAATCTATTCAAACTTAGCTTGTATTGGGTCAAGTCTCTATGGACTGAGATTGAATGTTAAACTTAAGTAACAAAGTTGGATTAATAGTGGAGTAAACAAATATTATACAGGATTTTTGGCTGTTGAAGCCAAAAGTCTAATCCGCCATCTTAAAAACGACTGGGAGACTTGCTACAAGCTTGAGGCAACGATTTCTGGGATAGTTTGGGTGGACAAAAGCTAGTTATGATTGGTCGATGGAATCAAAAGGCAACTATTAACCAATCATTGTTCGACAAAAATATGACCAGAAATGGTTGCGCCAGAAGCTTGTACCCATTCTCCTTTAGTTTATGAAATGCGCATGCCCCTGCTGCCCTTAGAGAAATCAAGGTAGACAGGTAAACCTGGACGAAACTAAGCCATACGGGTACTTGTCGCCCTCGCGCTTAGATTAATACCCTTGCAATTAATTTGTTCTTAAGAATGTTAACTTGAACCTGAGTTAAGTCAGGTTAAATCCGCTCATGAGCTTGGCTTTATTCGAGCCTTCACGTCAGCCTTCACACCACAATTTTATTGTGGACTTGTCCAGATATGCTAACGATTACATTATTATCTACATTCTAAATAGCATATTTGTTTGCTTTTGCATGAATACGGCTGTACATAGTTTAACTTTACAATTTATTCTGGCAAATGCTTGCATTGTTCCAGTCATTCTTTTGATTCGAGGTTTATCATTTGTTTGTTCATTTCTCATGGCTTGATTTTGCAGGGTGTGGGGGTGTTATAGTGTTTTTAGTGTCAGGAATCACGCTTGTGGTAACTTTGTAGAGCTGTCCTGGTGGAGTTACCACTATTCGCATCAGAGCGTGCGCATTTCTCCTCACGCCACTGGTGTCTCGCGCAATGAGGGTGGTTTGGAAGGTTTTGGCGGGAGTAAGAAAGCAGTACAACAGAAGGCTCCTTTTCACCTTCATTTTCCCGTTAGGCGTGATGTGGAAGTAGTCCAGTTTCTTTTGAAATCTGTATCTTATTCGCAGATGCCTGCTGTTCTCTGTATCAGCGGTTTGTACTCGGAAAACCGTTTCATCTTGAGACACGTTGCATGGGATCTTTAGGTGATATGTTGAATTTGTAAAAGAAAGCGTGTTTTCACTTTGGGGGTCTCGAACGTTGATGAGCAGAAAGTATTTTGTGGATCGACGTTGACGATCACCAGGATTATCAGGAACTTGAAAGCTTGCCTCCAACTCGAGCAAAAAATTTCTAACTTTGACCCTGGCAAGTATATGTTTGACCATAATTTCCCCAGTTCTAGAGTTGATTGCGAACAGAGAGGGCTTTTTAAGGTTCTCTGACAGTAGAGTGTAGGTGATACTGTGTGTGAAGGGAAATGTCCTAGCCTGCACTTTGGTAATCACGGTGTTGGGCTGCTCATCTTCACTGACAGTCACTGTGTACTGTTTATCATAAAATGATATTTCTAAAAGTAGAAAAAGGAATAAAATATGATGTTAGATCTTCTTTGACAACAGTTCAGACTGTGTCTAAGACGTACAACCCTTGGATGGCCTTAAAGAGAGACGTTTGCATGCCTTACTAACGGAACAGATCTCAAATCGTAGTCCAAACAGAAATTTTCCGAAAATTGACGTTGGGTGCCCCTGAGAGTTAAGTAAGTAGGTTGAGTTTGATGGTCCGGTTGCACATAGTCTTGAGTCAGTCTTGAATAGGACTGTTGTTGATGACAGTGACTGACGTTTCGACAACCTGTGCGGTAGTCATCTTCAGAGTCAAAGTGAGTTGTATTCCGTCAGTTGATGGTATTAAACTCTGATTATTGACCTGATTGGTCAATTAAGTTGTGATGTTATTGGTCGTCTGTCAGTTAAGCCGTGATGTTATTGCCTATGAAGACTCGTAATGTCATTGGTGCGCTTCGATCCGTCTATTGTCACAGTTAGTCGTCTACTGTTAGTCAAATTGTCAGTTATCCAGTCACTCTCTTGTAGTTAGGTTTGCTTGATTCCGTCAATAAGTCGTTTGTACGGTGCCAGTAACTGTTGACTACTAACTGTTCACTGTCAACAACAACCGTTTCCATTCAGGACTACGTTCACCCGGACGATCATACTCAACCTACTTATGAAATGGCTTCTGGGTTCAAACCTTTCGTATTGTTAAGTCGAACGACTAAGAACACTGACAAGTCGGCACTAACTCTAGCTCCCGGGGGGGGGGGGGGGGCCTCCCATATGAAACAGACCGGGATGCTCGTGGTCCCGCTCAGGGTTGTAAATTTTGGATTTTGGTTTCGCTTGGGGTGTTCGTGGCAAAGCCCCCATATTTTAAGGCGCCAAGCTCCCGTTTAGGGTCCCGCATACAACTTGTATTTTCTGAAGTTGTCTTTAAAAACTATTATTAGATAAAAGATCTCTTTTTTGTTAGTTTTAGTCGTGCGCTTTTTGTGGTTCAAAGTTTTGTGAGCGGGCGGCTGTTTTGGGCCTATTTGGGGGCTCAAAAAATCGCGTGGCAGGCCGTATGTTATCTTTTGTGGGTTTAAAACAAAATTTCCCATAAGCTTGCCCGCCCTGTGACTGACGGGCGCCCCCCCCCCCCCCTCCGGGCTCTAGGTACACTCTACTAGGAAGCTGTCTGGTTCATGTGACAGTGGCGCCTATCAATAGAAAGTTGATATTCCCAATTTCAGCCGGGACATGCCAGGAAACCTCCTTTAACTATACAAGGCAATCTGGCAAAAACGATCCCCGTAAAACCAATATTTAGCATAGAGACTGCAATACCGGAAATACTGACAAATTTCTTTAAAAGACTCTGACTCTTTTTGTAAAGTGTTTAACGCACATTGAGGTTAATCGAAGACAAACAGGTTTAAATATGACTTTTAACCAAACAGAGCTGTTTTTGTTTTGCGTTTCCCAAGCTAAGGAAAGAAATTTATTCAACGGAAGACCATAAGAAAATCTCCAGTTGTAAAACATTTCTGTTATTTTTGCTTGAAAAATCTCTTGATTTCCATTCTTTTTTTCATTCTTTTTTTCATCAAAAACTATGGTGAAATGCAAGGTGTTCAAGCAAAAAAGCAATTAATTCTTCCCAAAACAGTTTGAAAAATGCAGCTCGTGAGCATTCCTCAGTGTCTTTGATACGAGCATCAATAACAGATTTATATAGCATTAATGACAAGAGTGCTGTTAACATGTGGAATTAGAATGAGAGGATTAGCATGATCCTAAACTAACAAGCTCAAAACCTTCAGATTGCTCTTACACTGTAATCCACGCTGTAGAGATTCTTCTTTATTCGACCGACACGGAAAAAGGGTTTCCAAGAGTTTTCTTTCGATTTTTAGGAGTAACAAACCCAGCCACACCCACAGCGCGATGTCTACTTTCTAATTTGCTGTAGAGCACCTATGTAACTTTGATATTGCTTTTTTCCGATAAGGGATACGTTTGAATCAAGTAAAAACCTTGGCCATAATCGAAATAATGACTTTTTGTGAATGGAATCTAAGTACCATACCGACACGTAGCAAGTCCGTAAAATTGATCTTTTTTGGCCGGATTTCGCGAGTTTGGTGCAAATTGACAATTTGCCGATGACATTTCCTTGATTTATTAATTTACACCGGGGAAAAGAAGAACCGAACGTAACTAGTAGTGGCTTTTCGTCAGTTCCGTTGTGGTTAGACTTTCTTTCACGCAATTAATCCAGCCAAGGGATCAGTAACACACTGGAAAACAACGCAATATTAAGAATTTAGCATATCTTTTTTCTGCCTCTCCGGAACACAACGGGAACACTCACAGTTAAAAGTTCTCTGTACTGGCGGTTTCTTGCGATAGTTATAACGTATTTAACGCACAAATATATTACCTGGATAGCAGGTCTTTTTATTTGAATGAAGGACGTATTCATGAGGGCAGGAACAGTAATGAGAGGATCGAGAATTCACGCACAAGTGTGAACAGCCGCCATTGTTCCTGTTGCACTCATTTTGATCTGCTGAGAAGAAAGAAGGACATGAGAGCCAAAATTAACACGACAGTCAAGTAAGTAATATAACTTATTTTGAAACTAGTTAACTTGGTACTATTACAGCGACGGGAAGGTTAGAATAAAGGCATTATCTTCGATTGTAGGCTTGTAAAACATACTCAGTAAAAAATAGGGAACTCCACTGTTCATTAGAACCATCGGAGACAAAACGACAGCTAGGCAGGTATTCGTTACTGATCTATGCTATTCAGTACATGTGTACAAAACACGAATATTAGCAAGCAAACTGAGAATTACTAGTTTTTGGTGAAAATTTTTATGCCTTTACATTTAAACGAATGTTTCTGTCTTGACTTTTGCTTACTGTTTGAAAATGGGAAAAAATCTGCAATGTACGAGGCGCGGATTGAGTTTGACATAAAAGCTATCATGCTTCTTTGAGCTAAAATTTGGAAAGTTAATCGGTAGTGGAATTTCAGTTCATTGATTTTAGACTGGATACAATCATTGTTAGGAAATATCTTTGGTTGCATGCATGTCAAAGAACGCCGAGACGCGAAATGTAAGAAGGAAGTTTCTTTTTACCACAAAAATGAAAAGTATACCGAGAAATTTCGTGATTCAAGCTTGATAATGTTTTTCTCTAGAAAGCAAACATGCGTGCATACTGAATTACAAACGCTTTTCTGAAAATCAGCATTACTAATCCAAAGTCAAAGTAAACCGTGCGCGGTGGCGTGTTTGATACGTGATGAAAAACTTCTCGTTGTGTGTACAGGTTGTTTTGGAAGTTGTATCAAACACGTGACAGGGTGTTTCGTCGCAATATTAAGTGACGGCAACGAAACGTCACTATTAAAAATGAACTCGCGTTTTTACAATTTTTTTCGCGGTTATTCGCGCTTAAATATCAAATGTAGGTGAATTTTCCTGTAGTGGAACTCTTAGGGACCACGCCCAAGTTTTAAAAGAGAGGGGGAAATTTCTGGTCGTGTTTTTGCGTCCTCCATGGACTGACGTAGCCGGCGTGATAAGGAAATTTCAAGTTGTGGTTGTCCAAGTGCAGTGAAAGTACCGAAGACTGTGATGGTTGAGTGCTTAGTTATTATCATAAATTATTTTATCAGAGGGCATAGGCTAGTAAGAGTTTTGAGTGAAAACGAAGCGAGCTAACAAGAAAACAATGAGTAGGAGGACGATTCATCTAGCTGCATAAGATGAGATTTCATAAGAATAGAAGCGGGGAACTTAAGCAACGACAACGGCGACGGCAACGAGAACGCCAAAAAAGCAACAGGTTTCAAACAACAACTTTGCACGTACATCACGCTTTTTGTACATTTCTCTGCCGTCAGTGCACGACTACGATGACGTGCAAATGCCTAATTTCACGTACGTTTTAAGGAGGCGGTTTGAAAACACGCGAATTCATTTTAAAAGAGACGTTTTCGCTGCCGACGCCGTCGTCGATGCTAAAGCTCTTTCTCTAAACGGTAAGACTAGCAACCAAAACCAGAACCTGCATCAACTGTAATTTAGACCCCAATACATTCTCAAACGAAAAAGTCATAATCTTTAATTTAAAAATTATACAAGAATATTTAAAGCCTAAAATCGTCAGAAAAATAAAAATATTCAGCTAACCTGAGCCGGAAAAGCGGCATTCTTATAAAAAAAGTGTCGTAAGTGCTGAAGTACTCACTGCAGACCAGGCCTTATTTCAAATAACAGTTTCCAGAGATTTTAATGCAATAGCTTTGAATTTGGTATTTTTAATGCTTATGGTTTGCTTTTAACAGGTTGCTTATCTAATTTTTATCGTTGCTCTTAGGTTACTAGGAATTATTTCAAAAAGAAAGAAAAACACGACGTTCTAATGATTTCAATAGCATTAGGATATGGTCACATAAATTCCAAAGAAGGGTGTCGAGAATGTTCCTAATTGAATCACACTTCAAACTGGAGCTCTGGCAAGGAAAAGGTGTTCGGGTTAAATATTTTTCATTAAGCAAATTAGGGAGATCTTTGTCATGTTCAGGCGGAAGAAAGAAGGCCGTACGATAGGAAACAAGATAATGCCCGCATCACAGAATAAGTAACAGGGTAGCCATTTGACGAGTTCCATTTGAATTTAAAACTAGCGAGCGTAACTTGATTTTTAGTTGTTTTGACCTTAGAACTCGTAAAGAGCTTTTAACTGTTACTTATGATGAAAGCCGAGGAGAATACATAAGGACAAAGTCCGGCGGTAACAAGAAACTTGTTACACTTGCGATACTTGGCATTTTGGAGCATTCCCAAGAACAGTTCTAGTAAAGCAGAAACGGATGTTCTCTACCGCAAACAAGTATCAAGACGCCGGTATTTTTAACTTCAGACGTTATATTATCCGATAAAAGCACCATTGAAATGGGTGTTTTATTTGTATTAAAGCTATGGTATTACAGTGGCGGTACCATAAAGTGGTTTTCTATACAGTGCTGGAGGGGCTTTCTCGTCACCTGAAGATAAGTGGCTTCCAACCAAGTCACGCTTAATCTTTATGTTAGGTTGTTAAGTTTATTTCCATTCAGTATCAATTTTAGTTCATGAAGAAAGACCATAGATTTTTTCACAGAAACGCACTAGCAACGAACACCAAAAAGAACACTAGGGTGATGTTTTGCTTGCGAGGTGCAAATTACCGTGCATACTCTTGCGCGAGACTTCCGTTTTACCTGATACATAAAACACTCACGGTTGCGTTTATCTATTACTGGGAGTCAGTGGGTCATGTACCACATGCCAAACAACTTAACATCTTGGTTCTCCACTTTGAAAACGTTTATCACGGATAATTATTGGCTGTTAGTTTTGAACTTTGTGGTCGGAGGCTGGCTCGATTTCCGCCGTTTTAATATTTGGGTGGCGCTCATATCCTGCCAAAATATTCGAAGAACTGAAGGCTGGGTCGAGGTTAGGTTTTGGTGGGACAAAGTACAGTGACATGTAAAAGGGTGGTGAATCTGTGTAAAAGGCGTGAAAACCACGGAGGTTGTTGCGTAGGTGGAAGCCATGTTGTTTTCTTGCGATTATAAAACAGTTTGTCAATTAGTTTCGTAGACATAGACTTTTCAAACGAAAAGATTCTCCATGACTTTCGAGTATTTTGGTTGTTCTGAACAGAGTTTTCTCTGTTCCATTTTAGCCGTAGTAGAGACGACTCTATGGAAAGGATTGCTTCGATTCACGACTAGGGTTTTTGCATTTTTCTTTCCTATGGACAGAGATGCAAAAGTAAAGGAACTGCGATTTAGCTTAGGATTGTAGCGATGAATATGATTATTGTTTGATTATACCCACTATAGGTTCACGGCTATCAGCGTTATCGGGAAAGATGGTCGCTCATTTACGATATCAATAAGGCATTGCGTCAGGCTATTCAAGCATGAACGCACCGTGAAAGTGGCATAATTGTAGAGAAATTGAGGATTTATGGCGCACGAGTTGTGACTAAAATCCTCATTTTGGAACAGGAAAAATAATGATTTTTTTAATATTACAGGGTAGGATTAAACTTATATCATTCTAGCCTATCCCTACACTTGGTCTTAGTGATGGACTGAGCAAGAAAAAATGACAAGCTTAAAGAGAACTCAGTTTTCGTCTGTTCATCTTTAATTTCTTTTTTTTTCCTTGTAAAATATAAAGATAACTCACTTTTCTACCGGGCTTTTTAGACCTCTTTCTAGTTTTCATTTCCACGCAAGGCTTGTCTTAAAAACTGGTGTATTATATTTCGTCAATTAAACGTACTGTTCACTGCACCCAGTCCAGAAATCCAACAATTTTTTCTTATAGGCAATTTTGAAAATTCAAGTTGAGTGATCTTTACAAAAAAACTGTTTGTAACGGGATAATTTTGAACTTATTTTTCTGCTTATGATTATCTGTTTTTCAGGGAAGCTTTTTCGCGGCTCACGAAGAGGGGACAACTTTATGACATGCTTGGAAATTTAGTTCATCCTCACGAAGTATGATAGCCTAAATGTTCCGCGAAAAGTCAGTGGGCAAGGACTTCTTCTAAGAAGGAGAACTAATAAAGCTCTTCCTTGCTAGTCTACAAGTTTGTTTGGGATCTCCTGAGTATCGAGTAAGAAAGCTCGTTTGTTGATCTGAATTGCTGTAATAAAAGTGAGGTGGAAATAAAAGCAGTGGTTCAATATGTCATAAATCCTGAAACTGTCTCAGTATACCTTTTCTTTGTTTAATTGTATTTTTTGTCAGCACACGTGTCGTGTTTTCACGCATTTAAAAAAAAAAACCTCAGCACATGTTGTACGCATTCAGCTAACAATCTCAAGTAAAGTTAACTTGGTGCAAATGACAGTTTTTCGGAAGAAAATTTAATAAATGAATCTATAATGGAAAATCAGGCCACAAAAATGAGCAAACAAGGAAAAAAGTAAGCCTTCATGTTCATAATCATGCAGTTACATCACCATACATGTTGTACTTCGTTTAAAAATTAGCCATTCGCCTTTTTTCTAAAATTTACATCTTCTTCGAAATTTTGACCTTTTGTCTGCCTGGAAATGTGTACCTGATTACTTCTCTGTTGAAAACGGAAACCACGCTTTAACCCGAGGTTCCCTCATATAGTTAGCTATCGTTACGTCATATTCTCAAGTAAAGTTAGAGTAAACATAACGTTTGCGTTTACTTTATATGCCTTGTAAATATTTAATCATACTGTTTTTCTTTTAAAAACAAGGTGTCCACAAGGTGAAAATAATTTACCTAATTACAGCAACATGAGAGGTAAACGAGAATCATCTAATGCTCATTAAAAAAGCTTTGAAATATTGAACAAACATCCAGTGTATAACACTCCTAATCGACTTATCATTTATTTTAAAATTTACTTTTATTGTTGCCTTTGAATTGAGATCTTTTAGGCCCCCCACCCACAACCGTCCCATCACAGCACACTGTATACTTTTTTTAATGCATTCTGAATCTGTGTGGAACAAATAACTATTCTGTTCTACAATAGGTTCGCGTATTTACTAGAAGCAACAATCCCATCTTCGTTGATTTATGTAGCTGTTGATTGACCCAGAGGTATCAGCGTATATGTCACTCTTTTGATCATCTAAGGAGATCGCTAAGTTGTATAACACGTACTTAAAAACTGAGCGCTCGGTCCCAAGGCCTTGTCGGCGTTCACAATGGTGATTGGACAAACCCTCAAGATCACATCAGCAAAGACTGCCATAATTATGTATCAATTTGTTGGGTGTTTAGAGATTTAGAATAAACATCCACATTCCCTTGCTACCACCGCTATTTACGATCAAACGATGGTATAATTCATTATGTTTTTACACGCCAAAAATATTTCAAGATCTTAGGAGTAAGGGTTTGTCCTCTTCACAATTGTGAACTGACAATGAAGTATCGGTGTACGAATGACGGTACACGTTGAAATTCAGTCCTATTATTTGATGCAAACAATTTTAAAATTTATTTACTTTTTAGGACGCTTGCCATTCTTAATTTGGTTGTAGCACTACCAATAATTTTAACCACTTATCAAAAGTGCGTATCATCAATGACATCGATGATAAAGCACTCTAGGGCAAACCTTTATGGTTGTCTAAAAGAATGCATTGCACTAGCATGAAGTTATACAGTTAACTGAATTCTTTAAGAATCGAGGCTTCATTGGTAATCTGTTAGGATGGAAATCCCATAATTAAATAAGTCTTTAAGCCATAGACCGTTGTACGTTTTTTTTTCAACTTTTGACGTGGACAAGTTAGGGAAAATTCGTCGACACCACTGAAAAGAACGCCTTGAAATAAGTGAAATTGCCAAGTTTGAGAGTGATTTGTTGAAAACTAACGAAATTTTACAGACGTTTTACAGACATATGGTGGAGGGCACAAACTTGCGCCCACCATACAAACCGTCTGTAAATTTTCGCAACATTGGGGAGCTATAGCTTAGCTCGCTTAAGTATCACTTTCAAATTTTTCAATTTAAGGCGCTCTTTCCAATGGTGTCGATGGATTTTCCCAGACTGGTCCATGTCAAGAATTTAAACAACCGTGGAAGTGTCTATCCTTCGCTTAAATTCCGATCTTGAACTCAAGAGGTGACTGCAACGTTAAGCTAGTTACCTTTACACCTCCTCTCATCTGCTGCGAGTTTATAGCCTTTTTTGCACATACAGTAAAAGCTTCCCTCTGTGTTCACACACTTGTGCTGACATCGGCCATTGCCTGTTTTGCACTCGTCAATATCTACAATTATAAAACATTGAAATAACTTAGTAAATTTAAAACCACCATGAAATCTCTCGGATGAAAATTTCGCTGAAATGACAAAAATTCTTAAACAATACTTCATGCGATTGATCGACGGATTTAAATGATTTTGTTATGAGAATTTCACTCTTTACCAAAACTGTGCAACCAGTGAGATCAGTCAGTTCTTAAGAATATTCATAGGCTTGACGGCTTTTTAAGCGAAAACTCTTCAGAAAATCCTAATTTTTTTCAAAATGACCCGTCTGTCAGCTTCCCACCGGCCAGTTGTGACTTTTGGAGAGCGCCCTTAAGGAGTCAACAAAAAAAAATGAGCAATGGGAGGGAGCATCTCCTGGTGTCAGTTTTCTTATAGACTTGTCCACTTTTGGCGGGGAGACTGTGTGTCAGGGAAAAGTTAAGGAATGGCTATTCTGAATACCTTCACACCTCGCTGATTGTTTCGGACCTTTGTTGGCATATCCCAGAGGACAGTCACATTCGTAGCTACCAACAGTGTTTCTACACAGTGTTGGGAATGTACACATGTCTTTCTTGCATTCGTTTTCATCTGTATCAAAATAAAAAGTGAAACACAGGGCTTTGGTTATATGAATCTGGTGTTAGTAACACTTGAAACTCTCAAGCAGTCCAAAAAAAAACAAAATTTATGAAATGCATCTGACTGGAGCTACGAAGACGTACTGCTGCTGAATTTTTGACTCGACGAAGGTTAAATGGTCATCGAATGGGCCACTAAGTAATTTAGAGTCTTTCACTAAAAATCAGTAAGACCCTCTAAAAGCCAGCCATGATAAAATAGCGTCATGAGTTAAAGGGCCGGTGTTAGGTTTTTGATACCCATTTTTCATATTTTTTTAATTGTTTTTTTTGGAAAGTGCTTTGGTCATATATTATTCCACATAAAGAAAAACTTTTCCCGATAAGAGCATTTTTTCAACATTGCCAATTAAAACTAGCAATTTTGGGCGTGACGGGAAAACGATCGAGTTTATGTCACGTAACTATGTGACGTCACAGGTGTGTAACAAATAGACATTCGAGTGAGAGCAATGGGCGTAACTGTGCCTGGCGTTCGGAATCTCCGAGAGAAGAGTGAAAGCGAAATACGGAATGATGTATCGCGTTTACATTTCATAAAAATAATGGGAAAAGGGGTTATTTTGCACTAGTCTTCCCAAATCGATCCAGTCAATTTTGAGAAAAAGGGGACGCAAAACGTAGCTGGGATTGTACATACGAGTTATATTATAACGAAAACATGGCGGCGATCACCATATTGACAAGTTCTCACGACAGTTTCAAATGATTAATTGATTGATTTATTAAATGTGAAGGGAATGTATTTACCCTCTGAAGTGTAGGATATGTGAAATCCCTTGCCAGTTGTGTTGTTGTCCGATCGGAACCGAATCCAGACGGAGTTATGCCGTACCAAGAAGCTGCTAGGTCTCATACTGCCACAGTATTTGGGAACATCGCGAAAATTCTTCTTAACGGACAACATGAGATAGTCCTTGGAGCAATGAGGTGATTGTTCAATGTCAAACTGACGTCGAAAACGAATCCTAATACGGAATCCACGAGGTACCTGCACTCGCCAGGTACAGCGCTGATTCTCGGCATACTCATGGGGGTAGCCTGGGGAGCGAATTGTTCCAGATGACTTAGTTAAGTGAATGGTCTTTCTGTCGCATCGAAGAAGCAGTGAAGAATTGACCGTGGGCGCAACAGTGGCTGTAAACAAAAGATCTGTTAATGAACACTAAATAAATACAACTAAATAAGACATTCAAATATGAATGACAGACTGTCTGAATAAATGAATGAATGAATGAATGGATGAATAAATGGATGGATGGATGGATGAATGAATGAAAAAAGTGAAGAGAAGAATGGATGAACGAAAAACAAAATAATAATAGCAGCTTAATGGTGTTACTCATAAGGAGAAGCCTTTCCACTATGGGAATCTCGCTGTCCTGTCCTATGGAATATATAGGCTTAATTTATTTGCAAATAGGGAGTGGAAAAAAGGGTGGACTGAAGGATCTACGAAAAAAGGTCAGCACAAGATCCTACCGCTGAAAGCTGACTGAAAAAAAAAAAGTGAGAAGAATTTTCAGTCAGAGCGTCTGGGAATTAGAGCGAATCCATATTAGATGCAAAACTAACAGTCTAAAAATTCTGTCTGACAAATTATCGTTAAACAGGATTTATGAAACTGAAACCTCCTAACTTCGCCAACTCTTCATAGTAGCAAACAAGGGAATCCTGTTTTTCTGTTTTACTAACGCTATTGACAACGACGAGACTGGTGATTATTATTATTTTTTTGCAAAGGCAAACAGCTAACTGTATTTGAAAAGGTGACTGCTAACCGCTTTACCGGCCTTCTGTACCTTTTTCGGCATCACTGTTCTATCATAAATCGCACAACCCGAGATCATACAGAGAGCATCGAAGTTGTTCTTCTGACTTCCGCAACCCGAAAAAGCCAGCTTTATTTCTGTCATTGTTTAACGCACATTTACAACTGAACACTTTCTACTGATCACTATGAGCGAAATCAAAACATTCTGTACCACGTCATACATGAAGTTGTACTTTTGCCTCAGTACTAAGGATAACATCCTCAGAGTAGTCTATTTTGCATCATACTGGGGTAGGCCTTTGCATTTTGGGTGGTCACTTACGGGATATGCCGCCCAATATATTTTGTTTGTATTAACGTAGAAGTACCCAAAGAATCGAACTGTTTATTTGTCACACCTACCAAGCCAAAAGGTGCACTAGACTATTGCAGGCGTTCAGATAGTTTGGAGCAGCGCGAAATAAAGGAAAAGAGCAGAAAGAGAGAGCATTTTTTTCGCGCTGCTCCCAACTATCTGAACGCGTGTAACAGGCTACAGGTGCACGGAATTGCTACGTTTCCTGATCCTTTGAAGCATTTGTCTAGGCGCACACGTGGATAGCCAGGAGTCTGCCAGGAGCGCACTTATAAACCCTTTAGACGATGCCAGTTTTAAAATAAGATCAAGGAGACGTTGGCATGAAGTTGGCTAGAGCCACTGGTACCTGACGTAAATCTTGGGCCTGTTTACACTAAGGTCACTGTGCAGCTGTTTGTAACATCCTTAATAGAGTTTAAATACCTCCGGTATGTTGATTGTATCTATGAACTGATAAACGTGAGTCTAGTACATTATATAACCGCATAAATTCGCATTACATGACTCGCTTGCAGAGATTTTAGTTGTTGAAACTTACAATAAAATGGCCGGCACTAGCTTCATGGAGATTCTCTCACTTTAACTCAATTTCTTGCAAAGACAATTTTTCACGGAAATAAAGTTAATTTCAAATTTTGTTCTCACGCCGAAGATCTTCCTGCCAAAATAATCTGCTAATTTGCTAAATGCAATAGAACAGGCTAGAACAGGGTCTCTTATCGCAATTTAATACCAATTGTCGACAGTAAAGTGCCTTAGAATGCTTCGTTTTAACCTTTACAGCTTATCAGTAAGATAAATTGGCCAAGTCCGGAAAGAGCTCTTCGCTAATACCTTATAATCCTTGTAATAAAACAGGTTAGTTTCCCAACCTAATAAATCATGATATATATTGATTCTGATCTTTTAAATTTACAAGACGAATTAAGAAAAAATAGTTGTAAGCTTTTGACAAGCTTACTAACGGGCCACTCAGACATGTCGTTTGGAGAACTGGAAAACTCTTAATTTTTAAAGTGCTTTCTTGAATACTCGACATACAATCAGTCCATCGATTGGAATCTTTCCAGCTAGACAGCGGATAACCCGAAGTATAGCTGAGAGCACGCCGATATCTCCTGGGTTTTCAGGTTTTCCAGTAGGTCAGAAAGGACACATGGAGCATTCTTTAAGCGCTTTTGAAATCCTCACAGCAAGGTAATCAATATTATGACTCTTTATATATCTAAAAAAAATAAATAAATAAACTGCTTGCGGACGTAATAAACTAGAAATCTGTGGCACCTCAACTACTGTCATTTTAAGATCAGTCACCAAACAAGCATGCGAAACACGATTTTAAGGACGTTAAGCTAAATTACAGTGGGCATTTTTTGCATGTATGTAATTAGTGAATTATTAGCTAATAACAATGTTTTTCTGCTGTGTACAGATGTACACTTATTTTCAGTGATAGCTGGCTGACCTTGGAGCGAGGTGGTCTTTGACTTACGTCTGCATCACATTTGAATCGATAAATTGTTAAAAGAACGCCTTTGACTCAGTGGAAACTGTCGGCTTCATTCCTCGATTTCAGTGAAATTAGATAGAGCCTCGCATTTTGAATCATTAGTTCTAAACCGGGTTAGGTTTTGCCTCTATGACAGATGAGACCGAACGGTTTTTTTTTTTATCAAGAAGCAAAATGTATAAGAGTTGTAGAAGAAAGATACGCTGTGGAAACAAAGTAATCAAAACCACGCTGGTTTTTCAAGCATCACGAAGCTTAAAAGTTGTTTCCGAGAACAAATCGATGTAATCATCTTAATTAAGCTTCTTTAAGCAAGAGCGAGCTAATTTTGAACGTTGTATCAACAAAACTATTTAAGTGCACCAGAAATATGCTATCACAATTTCGGCGGTAAAACATAACAAAACTGAAAAGAAAACATGATCAGCGATAAAACTAGAATCGAAGTGCTAAAAAAAGAAGCGCTCCTGAACAAACATTTTTAAGTAACAAAGAAAACAAATTAAAAGTGCGAACATTTTGAAAAAAGACAGACCGAAACCACTCTTCAAGTCACGAAGAAGGCATTCTGAACGATATTAAGTTGTCTATTGAAGTTGTTCTCTTTTTATGACGATGGTCGCATTTTGCAGATAATCCCAGTTACAGTCATTTTGAAAGTAATGAAAAAATTACTTCTGTAATTTTCCAGGCGCAGCAAATAAATGTTTTTGTGTAAGCATCGCCAGATAGTCTACCACAGGAAGTCTTAAGTGTTCAATTGGAATCTCAAAGCCTGCTCACAAGCGAATTCATTAGATAGTAGAAATGTTCTTACTACCTTGTTTTAAAGTCTGTGCTTATTCATTTACTCTTTCATCAACAAATGCTGTTCTAGTTTATCCCCATAAAAGTTAATGAACTGAATTATACAAGAACACACCTTTTCCACGATTTGTAGGGTTTCGCCTTGCTCCCTCGCATCCAGTCACGGTGAAAAGTCTGTGATATAAAAATCGTTTCCATGAGTTAATAACCATGCTTTTAATTTTATAAAGGATGGTTTTAATTGATTCTCTTCTAGGTGTGTTATCAGCATAGCTCGTGGGTAATTTAGCAGCATTTCTAACCGGAATTCTTGCAGCTCTCAGACCAGACCATGAATTAGCGAGTAGCAGTTTAATACGTTAAAATATACAAGCGCTATGACGCACATTATACTGAGTTGCATAAATATTAGCTTTTGAGCAAAAACCTTTTTGGGACTCTACGTTAGTTTACTTTTTTGTAAGTTTGAAGTCCGTAAAATAAGCCATTAACACACTGCAGCGTTTCAAATCTTAATGAGGTTCAAAAGGATTACACTAACAGAAAATGTCTTTTTCACTTAAAGGCAAAAAAGCTCCTTGAAACCACATTTTAAAACGACACTACAAAAGAAGTTTACTTACGCGAAAATCACGAAGAGAATGGTATACATTGAAGAGCCTTCCATTGCTGACCGAAGTACTTTAGAAGTCAAGTTTATCGCATGCACTCTTCAGAGTGAACTGAACAGTACTTAAATTGGTTATTTAATAAATCATCTTTGATCGGCATTTGGCATTCCTTTACAGGTTGCTTTTCCAGCCAATCAGTAGAAACCATACGAGTAAATATTCTTCCTGTAACTAGTGCGTATCATTACACAATGCGGACTCGGCAGTAACTATAATGAGATAATCGATTACAGCTAATGCGGCTGATTACCGAAATTTAGCCGTTGACAATTGTTCCTAGTCTAAACGTTAAGTAATAATTGCGCCGTATAGCAGGAAACGCACTCTTTTGCTTGAAGATGCGGTTTTTCTTTTAACACATTGAGCGCGAGTGCCAGTGCGCTTGGTGGTCGTTGAAGAGCCAAAATTGCTTATCTTATCGCGTTTAAATTCATCTCAAACTGGAAACATCAGTTAAACACTAAATTTAGCTCATAAAAAAACAGTATGCTAACTTGTACGTATAGGAAATCCAATATCATAGCTTTGGCCTCGGCAAAAATATCGACGGCAACCCCCATTAATCAAAGTCAGAAACTCGTACGATGAGACGAAATTATTGCGTTTTTGACATTGGCGGTGCACTTTTAAAATAAAACCTAGGCAAATGTTTTATCGTTTCATAAAAAGATCTTGGATCATTGCCGCTTGTTAGGAAATGCTTTGTAATGTGTGTAATTTCGAGCCCAAAGTCGTAAATTCTAATGGTCTGAGTGTTTTTTCTTCTTTTCGCATAACTTCCTATATGGGTGTAATTCCTTTTTAGATAAACTTGTTTAAGTTTAAAAGATTTTACCATTTTTATCCTATCAGCGTGCGTCGTTCATTACAAGATTTGATTAGACTTTTATCATACTTCTGCAGTCACCGCTTTCTTCCATGCAGTTTTAACTTGGCATTCTCTTTGTAGATAGATATCCTCATTTCTACAAAACAAAACAAAAAGACTAATGCAAGATAAAGTCCTGAATCCAAGCAACAAGTTCTGCTTGGCATTATAAAAAGATGTTGCTTACATTCGCGTTGAAGACAAATAAACAAGGGAATTAAATGTTCGCCACTAAGTCTACGCGCATACACAGCGTCACACCTTTTCTGTTTAGGAGGTTCTAATCATTAATCATGTGAGAAAGCTAACAAGTCAGGTTTCAATAAACAGTATTTCAATGTAGGCATTAAAGTAAGCCCAATATATCTTTTGTAGAGTGAAAGATATGTGAATAATTTTTGCGGAACGAAAGCGAAGCCAAAGGGCGGTACTCAAAAGTTCAAAATTGGGTCCAAAACAGAAAAAAACGGGAAACCCTGGGTCCAAAGGAGGCACTAAATTTTATTATCTCTTCTTGCTGTTAAATAACTTCTGGTTTAATAACTCAAAGGAGCGACAGCCACATAGAATTTATGAACTCCGGCAAGGCATGGTGATAACGTGACTAGAAAATAATAACAGGCTGATGTCATATTATATTCCCCGTCCTGTAACGCCTTATAAATGGGGTAAAAATGAAGGGATACAGAAACAAGGGCATTTCAATCTCTATTGTTTGGATTCTACACAATGTTTTTGTACGTTTATAGGCACAAATGTACTTATAAAAGATTGGGAGGTAATAAAGACTTGTTATCGGTATTTTTTAAGATATCGATTGACATGTCTTTCTTCACAAATTTTAGAATCGGAAAACCAAGGCATGCGCGCGGTTTCTGTAGCGCGTGTTTGTTTCTCGTGTAGACTGATCTTCCAGTTGATATAATTACACAGTTAACAGATGTCAATTATACAAACAAACGGCAATTAATGTCCATGTAATAATCCGGCCTAATCAGTAAACTGCCAGCCCGTCGCCAATAAAAACTGGCGGACCTTTTAATAGTAGCCGAAAAGCAAGTTTTTATGTTTAACTTGGCGCGATCAGTAGCAAAGAAGATGACCTAAAAGAAAACGCCATGGCCTCTGCTCTCAGAAACGATTTCGTTGCACGTACAGGCCATTTAGGATTTGGTTTCTTCCTTACTGGGTTCCAAAGTACCAAGTACTAAATTTTTGCATCGCTAAAATGTCAGCCATGTCAAATGCTATAAAACTCAAACACATGATGCCACTAATGAAGCTCACGAACTTCTCATTATCTTACTGTCTACAGCTATTTTCGTGAATAAGCACGTTTCTCATCTAGTGTTGGGCGCCACTCAGGTCCAACCAGTAGCTGGTGTCAAAGTTCTCGGCGCCATGTCGGTCATTTTCACCGTCTTTAATTGTATCCCGTCAGGGCCATTAACACGTGAATCAAGACAAATAATAGCTGTTCGCCTTAATTAATAACCTAGTCACGAATGCGAAAAAACTATCAAGGCGGGCACTTTTCGAAGGAAAAAAATATATGGAAAATAGAACTAAACGTTTTGGCCCCAGGCCGAATCTATTTTTTCTAATCTAAGTTTTTCGTATTCTAGAGTAGGCTGAATTTTTCCATACAAGCATTATAGCGCGGTATAAATGTTAGCATTTTTTTAGAGGTTGATTTTGGATTCAAATGTTTTCCGTGGTTTAAGGAACGGGAACCAAAGGCGTGAATCAATTCTGTGTCACACCTTTTCGACCTAAACTGGTATTTACGATTTTTTTTCATTCTTTTTGCCAAGTATGAAAGCATGAAATAGCGAGCCGGCCGAGCCGGGAACCTCTCTGGTATCCAATCACTGCGCATGCGCCGTTACTAAAGACGAACTGGACCCTAGAAAGAAAAAGCCTAGTAGATTGCCTAGTAGGCTAATCAAGAAATACTAGTAAAAACAGGAGAAAGTTTATAAAGGAGGTAGCACTGAAAGAACAAGATAGTGGGTATGTTGCTATCTTCGATGTACTCGCGCCCCTAGATTGTGTGCAGAATTCTCTAGTTTATATTGACTTTAGCATAACGATCGATCTTAATCGCCTTACATATAAATTGCTAGTTAACAAAAATCCTTTAATGAAAAGCCGATCTAAAAACCATCAACCACAAGACCGCAAAATGTCGCTTTTTTCGAAGGCGAATTCGCGCGTTTATAAGCTTGTATTAATTTACCAGGAAATACGGTCTTCTTGATTTGTGTTTATGTGTCGAGGGGCACTCAACTAAATGACCAATATAATTGCGACGTTACCGATCGATGTTGCCGAGTCGAGCCGACGCCGTTTTGTGTGTCCTTGCCATTTCCGCTTGACAGCCTCTCTAAGGAAAAAAAGGGCAGTTTCTTTTTCTCGTGTAGCTTTCGTAAGTCCGACTCGCGGCATACTCCCATCATTGCCGTTTCCTGCGTCACATTTCCAGCTGATTTCTTAGTTTTCGAATTTCAATTATGATCATGAATTTTATATATTTGTTTGGCGTGAGTCTGGCCAATTATCCTAGTATCTTGGCAAATGTAACGGGCAAAAGCTAGTTCGCCATGTCTACCGCCTTTTCTCATTTTGTGGACTCATGTGCCAGGATTTAAACTAAAATCATAAACCACGTGAGCCACAAGTAAGAATAAAAGACTTGATTTTTTTAAGGTTATCGATGAAACTTCAATGGCTACCAGGCTAAGTTTTTGAAAAGTATCAACCCTTGTTCTAGGTGAGTGCGATGTCAAGAATGCATTTTGTATAAACAAAGACTGCACAAGCATTTACATAATGAGAAAGATGTACCTCATGGTATGTCCCTTCACACTCCAATATCCACATACAAATTCTCAATACTGATCTCTATACGTTTCCTTGAAAGACTAGTTGAGAGAATTTGTTCAAAGATCAAAGCACTTTCAATAAGGTATTGAAATTGTTAGGAGAAAATTGATGTTGGTCATTCTTGGGACTTGTTCATGTCGTCACCATGAGGGGTCATATACTTCCTCTAATCCAATTACTGTACAAGGAAAAGGGTTTATTGTGTCCTGGAATGTCTACGGAGAGGTTCATACTTAGCTTTAACGTCCCCTGTTTGGAGGCCGACAAGTTGTTTAGTTCCAGAGAATACAATATTCATATCTTCCACAACTAGTTCCTAAGCTGAACATGAATAGTGGAGGCAGAAGACAAAATATTGTACAGTAAAAGCCCGCTTTACGGACACCCTCTTAATTTGGACAGGGCATTATTTATAGGGACAGTTTACTTTGTACCTGCATGAGTAATGAAAACCCTTACATTTCTCTCTAAATTCAACCCGTTTAATACGGACACCTTCTATGGCCCCCTCAGTGTCCTCATTAACGAGATTTGACTATACAAAGTTTTTGTATTATAATTTACTGGAAATCTGTATGGGTCCTTCAAGCTGTCTTGGGCTAACCAGAAAAATAAAAGATTCTTCCCTGAAATCCCTGCCTGACTGAAATACATTTCTTCCACTGTGATTCTGAAATGATTTAGATGAATCGAACCAGTTACTGGACAAAACCCATCAAAACTTAATGAAATTAAGATAAACCCTGTTTATGAAAGTGAAAGTTCTATAGGATAACGCTTTAAAAGGTCCGAGAGTTTTTGTTAGACGAGCCTTGGAGTAAATCGAACGATCCCGTAATACTTTTGACTGAATTTTGTCTCGCAAGTCAGTTTGGGGGTTACATGAAAGGCCGTTTATAATACAACCGGCCTTGGCAGTTTGCCCCTTTTACGCTCTTGTACATCTAAAATTAAAGGGTTACTTAGGAAAAGTATCAACAAAGAAGCAGACAAACAAAAGAACCATTTCTCATCACTGAGAAGGTAAAGAAAGAAAGAGAAGCAGCTGCAGTGGGTCGGGAATATGTAATTTAAGTTGCTAAAAAACGATATTAAAAACACTTTACTTTGCTTCACCTGTGAAAACACTAAAAAATATCCTAAGGATATATAACGACCGATGTTCACGTTGTAAATAAAGAAGAAGTCACATATTGTTAATGTGTATCGCACAAAGAAAAGAAGTGAAATTGAATGACCCAACGCTACGTTATTGAAAAACACGTCGAACCTTTAAAGTTGGAGAGTAATATTTGAAAGATTATCAGCGCTACTTGTCCATCATGACCACAATTAGACTGTAACATTTTAATTAAATGGATTTAAATTCTTGTTGCTATTTCACTCAAAGGACAAAGGCTTTTTTCAGTTTTATGAGCCCTGATATACTCCACTTTGACCTTATTTAATGATTTTTTAATAAGGAAATTCAGCTATTTTCTGCTGATAACGTCAATACGTGTTTGTTTTAGTCTATGAAGCAGTCGTCTGCTGGGGAATAATTCTCTTTAGTGAAGGGTTTGTTTAGAGCTGGTTTTTAACAATTTCAAAATTGGATGACACATGTATATAGTACACAACAACTATTACACTACAAAGGTCGTCTCTTCGTGTAGCTCTCGTCATGTATTTGAAGCTTAATTATGAACTTGGTTCGTTTTATGTGTGAGACTAATGCGTCACTGACACAGACTCTTATTTCGGATCATATCCGCTCAGCGTTGTCTTGAAATCCGAATCGCGAGAATTTTGCGGCACCCAAAACAAGGTGGTATTCGTAAAAGAGATAAACAATTAAAAAACTTAACTCTACTTCCTTATCGGCTTCAATAACTTGTCCGTTCAATTAGCAACCGCCCTTTTTATCTTTTTCAGACCAAATTGAGATCTCCTTACTATTGATTTTTTGAGAACATTGCCAACACTAAGTTAATCCAAGCAGTAGACTGTATCACAGAAGTTAAGTATTTTAATGTCTGACATGTGCGACTGCATTTTCTCATTTCATTTAAAACTATGTGCCAGTGTTCAGAGCTCTTTCCTCCCTGACAAATGTGGTCTGGGTTCTAGTCCGTAGAGATTTCTTCCACAAAATAGGTGAAAAATAACTAAGTTAAAACAGCTAGCTCTGTTCTGAGTATTAGCTACCACGGAGGGACACTAACACACACGACAAGCTTGGGGTGTATATCACCAAGGGGATGATCACTAGAAGCGAATCTCATCACTGCGTTTGCATTAGATTCTCTTTTGCTCTTGAACATGAGCCCATAATTTGGCTGTTGTCGTATTTGCCAGTTTATTATAGCATATTGAACATCCAGTTCAATCCATCGTTGCCCATCTCCTGGTCGAATGACATCACTTTCTGCTATTCTGTGTAAACGAAATCAAACGTTTTAACATTTCAAAAAGGTTGAAGATTAAGGCAGGGATTTTATAGGCAGTGTGGAGGAGGTCGTGCTACCCAATTTTGATACTTGTAGATTTAAACGCCTGAATGGGCGCGATGGAACCGGATGATTTAGAGATTAAATCAGCCCTCTACCCTGAGGAAAAAAATCTTGAATGCGGGGACTGGGGGTAGGGAAGGGCGTCTATACACAGACTCGAATAGGGAGACTTGCCGTATCAATACCACTAGTTACAACCGGACAAAGTTGGTCTACGATCCTCTTTCTTTCATTTACACCTTTCACACTAGGGTCTCGCTTTTGGCTGTGGAGAGGTATACTAAAACAAAGTCTCTGTTTAAAGAGCAAAGTAAACTTCACGAATTGTTTTTGACGTTTTTAATTGAAATGAAAATTGTTCACGTACTTAATCTTTGAGACGTCTTTTCCAATCCCCAGATAATCTTGATGCCATGGAATCACACTGGTCGTGTTCTTAGGATTCCAGTCTGTGCTGATGATCTGATACACCTCCAATGTATTGGCTGGAATTGATGCCATGTCATCTCCCACATCACTAATACCAAATCCAGCGAGATAAAGATACAGTTTTGCTGAATGTACTATGGCTCTCCTTGTAATTTTCTTTGTATCGAAAGCAATAAGAAAGCGCTTCTTGGGTTGTCCTTTGTTCTTTCCGGCGAACATGTGTTTTCTGCTTAGCTCGGTGTTATAAGCATGGGTTATGGTGACGTGTTCAATTACTTTGAATGATAAAGGGAAGTCGGTCGGGTGTCTCCCTATTAAGAAAATTGAGTTTCAGCAGTTGTGCCATACGACTATGGAAGCTGACTATGATTCTCGAGAATAAGTTTCAAACGGACATGTGCTAGACGAAGACCGAACTTGTATATCCGCTTCCTAATGATATTCCCTAACTAATATTAAACTACTATTAAAATTAGTATGCGGACGTCCCTTTCTAAATCTTTCACGCAGCGTGTGTTGTGATGGCCCGGCCGTCCAGTGGATTCCATGGTATTAACAACCCACTGTATAAGTGAAACAGTGCCTGTTAATTTAAGAAACAAAGACTGATCGTTTAAGAAACGGTGATAATCAAAATAAATAGAAACAACTAAATTCCTCGTTTATAAAAGATATAATCTCGAACGCTCAATGCTCTTACGTTTTGATTGGCTTAAACAGATAACTGACGCTTCCTTATTAGCCAATAAGAAGCAAGGCCAAAATATGAAACTTGTTTGCGCGTAATTTCTTTGCTTGACGAAGAACTTTATCGCTGTGTTTCGAGAAGTGATTAGTTCTTTGTTGTCCATATCAGTTATGAATGGTCATGGCTATAACAATAAGATTTTATACCCTAAGTAAAATTAGTGTTTACTTAATTCTTACATGTGTCGCATTGTGTTGCAAGTTGTGCATTAAATGTTGAATTCTCTAAAGCTGTGAATTCCTGCGACACTGAAAAATAAAAAAAAATGAAGACAAATTGACTCTTATGATACTTTAAAATAAAGAAACAAGAGAGGGTATCATTTGAAAAATTACACAAGGGAACATCATTCTTTATCTGAAAGCCTTGAAAACCTGTTTTGTGAGTGATCTAGCTCGGTAGTAGACAAACAAATTAAAATTTCCAATATAATAAGGACCTCCTGGTCATTACAAGACATTGAAGTTTCAATGCCTGTTGTGGTAGCTGTTGATTACAAGGTACATAGATGAAGTTGCCTTGAGCAGAGCATGGTGGGATAGCTATTGGTTTACAAACGCCAAGCACGACGTGTAGAGCATCTCTCCGTCGCAGGGTTTAATTTTCCGTGCAAAGTGAGTGCTGACGCGAAAGTAAACGCGGCTATCCTCCACTCATGCCCTACCACGTGATAGGACAATCGCATGATGACGTCATCTTACTACGACTACCGGAATCCTGCAATTTGTTGTGTACTTGTGCAAATTAAGGATATTGTTTTTTAAATCTCAGTGGTATTGACAACTTTAAATTAGAAAGCAATAACGAAATTGATTCTGATATTGTCATGACCTTGAAAATGGCCCATTCTACTGCTGCACTCACTTTTTTGCGGATTTTCTTTAAGGGAAAAGATAATGAAGCCTGTGCATAGAAGAAAGGGGAAGAAATGCACTTGCTTTATTGAAAAGGATCTCGGGAATTTCCAAAAAACAGGGAAACACAGCAAGTAAAAGTTTAGAAAATCGTTTATCAGATAGCCTGCGTTGCAGCCGGCCCACGTACTCGTCTAAACCATTTGTATTGTCTACATAGAAGATTTAGAGGGTCTGCGACGCAGGTTATTGTCAGAGTGCACCTTGGAAAAAACTTTTAGGGCTATAGACTCACCTGGTCTTTCTATGTTGGAGCACAGAAATCTAAAGCGATAGTCGTCACAGATTTTGTTAGGTCCGGTCTGTTCAGTGTTTCTGCAGTATACACCCACACGCTCTTTACAATGAATAACCTGCCCTGTCAGCTGAGCTGCCGAGCCGTCGCCTCGCTGACACTCTATATCCATCACAGACGTAGAACACAGGTCACCATTTAGCGCCACAGCCCAGCTTCCCGTCGGCTTCCTGACTGTGTATACCCATGAAGACCAGGTTCCATCTGAAAAATCAAGCGAAGCATTCTTCGGTGTTCATGGCTTGAGAGTAATGTAATCAATTAAATGATTCCCGTAAGAGATTTGATTGATTTAAGTTGTGGATGGCAGTGTTATACTTGCAAATAAAAAGAACAGCGACGTAAGTCGTAACGTGAAATAATTTATGCGTCGTGAGAACCTTCACTGGACAACTGGGCACATAACCGTTGTAAGTTAATCCTTGCACGAAAAGTTGTTATTTTTATTATTTTTTTTCCTTTTCATTTTTTTTCTCGGCCAGAAAAATGAAACGCAGACAATAGGCTCTGCATGCGTACAATTAAGGAAACCAGTGACGCACTAGAAATGCAGCCCACCCGTGTATACGGACAGTCATGCCAGCTCGATCGGCTAAGGGACAAATTTCTATAGTAACAGTAATCGTTATAATGGTGGCTTTGAGACTCCAAAACTTCCATAAGTTTAAATGCACTCAGAAGATGAAGAAGATTAAGACACTTACATGTTTCTGGTGGTGAAGGCTGGCTTTCTCTCCACTTTCTTAAGTCCATACCAGGGATCCCCGTACATTCAACACGCTTCAGTTCATCAGTTGCGGTGATGAAGGCATCTCGCTGAACAGAAACAATGCCAAACACGTTATCGCATAACACTCGCGACAATGAAGTCTTATGGAGTTCAGCAATTTGTTCATCGCTAAAAACCCCTTGGTTTTCGAACCAGAAACGATCACCATCACGTAGCCGACGAAATTGTTCTTTGATAATGCAGTGAAACGTGGGGCCAACCATGGCACCTGGAATAGGATCTTCAGCCAGACCTGCCACCCACAGGTCCGCATATTCCACGTCTTCGTACAAATCGTGGAGTAACTTCCTAACGGTAGCATCTTTGATTTCAAAGTTTGTTTCTTGAAAAATGTCTGCGTGTGAGAGATTGCATTGGCGTCTCCAGGCACCGTAACCAGGGAGACCATGGTCACGGCCGCGTTGAATATTGAGTGCCGCCAGATCAAAGCCATGTTCAGATTCAGGCTGCTGGAACAGCTGCTTTGTAAGCCCAGCAGCCATTATTCGGTTGGTGCCCTGCGAATCGTTGGCTACAAGTCCAAGGAGAACAGGTTCAATGCCTTCTCCCTGCACAAGTTTGTTATTGAAAAACGCCTTGATGAGAGGCACTTCTGGAGCAATCGGATCAAAATTTGCATCAAGCATTGAAAACTTTGGTCTTACCATACTGTGGCCGAACCTAAACGCGGAGGACGCAAACACATTCAGGACGCCAGGGTGTACATTTCTGTATCCTCGATAAAGTGGCAAGGCCTTGTTACCCAGAATTTTCGGTAGGTAATGATTATATGTTATGTGCTGAAGCACGGCCCCGACTATTTTTCTAGTCTCTTGGTATACCTTTTCCGCATTCCAGTGTTTGTTGATTTGGTTAAGACTCTCTGCTATTCGGTTGTGCTCTCTGACCCACAAGGTATGCATGGATGCGAGTGCGATCTGTTCATTGACTCTGAAGTCGCCAGCATCGAAGCATCCACCGAATAATTGACACAGGTTAAGGGGTGGCTTGAACGGTGACTGCACATGTGGTAGGAGATATCTCGGCCGAGTTATTCTCATGGTACCTTTGTTTGCTGAGGATCAAAAGGCAAGGCAAATGGAACGGCAGGTATAATACAAACACCCAACGTGGAAAAAATCATTAACAATGGCTGGTACTGGACACACCACAGTACTCCCTATCTGTCTTCCACACGGTTTAGAAAAGAGGTGAACTCGACATACAAACCATGTAGCCCATCAACACGGCGTTTAACTTTGTTTTCGTGGCCTGAAGCGACTAGTATTGCTCCCCCTTCCACCTCTCCCCTTGGATGGAATGCTAATCCAGGAATATTTTTCGCCTTTACCCATCGCCCGGGTGAAGGGAGACAAAGTGGAACAAAATTTTTTATCTACGAAAACAAGAGCCTACAGTAAAATTCTGGAAATCAGTCCAGTGAAAATTTTCTTTTCCAATTTGTCAGTGCTTAATACTTACATTCAAAGTCTCTAAGACGCTCAGCTACGTGATTACTGGAGCCATATATTTGTGATCCATCGATAAACGAGGTGATAGTGTTCAGCTGCTCCCGAGGAGTTACATTCTCGTTATCATTTTGGCATGCGGCCGCTGACCGGGTAAACATAGTACACCCAGACTCATCTGGATACATTATTGGAAAGCAAGGAGGCTCAAAATCTTCAAATAATCCATCACAGCTAAAAGAACAGACGCAGTATTACTTACATAAGAACACGAAGATTTACATAAATGATAGTAAGGAAAACATCCCATAACAACTCAGCCAATTCCCATTTCAAGGTCGCAAATTCAATTTTCTACCCAGTTCTGCTATGAATTCCCCCAGAGCGATTAACAATAATTTTCTGAAAACACCATCGAAGAATCAAGAAAATTTTGTCGTAAGGTATACCCAAAACTACATCTAGTTTTCTCTATCCATTATGGAAGATGCGCAAATGGTGAATTCAGAAAACATGCACAAATAAAATTATTAGTCCTGACAAAAAGAGCAGTAAAATATAAACCTACTTTGGCAAAAAACATTTTTCGCCACCTTCGCTCTCTGCTGTAAAAGAAATGTCATGGTCCAAGAACTGTCCCCACTGCATTAGCATATGCGAGTAGTTGTTCTTGTTTCCAGTAGCCTCCGTAACGTGAATAAGAAACTCTTTGCTTACGCGGTGCGGTGATGGAAGATCTGGCGCATACGGCTGATCGGGGAATCCAACTGGATCTGACAGACCATTCACATCGTAGTAGATTGGGTCCAGTATCCTAGTATAGGGTGTTGTCGCGGCTCCCCATGTGGGATTGTCAAGGTTATTACAGGTGCCGTCAAACGTTCGGTAGCGCGAGTGATACTCAGTGTCAGAACAGTTGGCTACAGGTAAAGTACAGTTGACCTCTTTGATGATCTGAGACATTTTGGAAGCAGAGGCGATAGAGCTTGCCCCCAGTCTTACGGATACCACGCCTGAACGACCACGATCATCTAAAGCAAGAAATAGGAAGACCCCTGATTACGGCTGAGACAATGATTTATAGCCTTTATTATACCCTTTCCCCTTTTTATAGCCTTTATTATACCTTTACAAAATCCTGTGGTGTTACCATTCAAATGAGACCTCTTTGGCAAAACGAATCTCAAGATGTTTTATCGTGGCCTTTATCGAGAATGAAAAGTTAATCACTAAACCAAAACTGATTAGGGAGCCCGGCAGCAGTCTTATCATCAGGCTTTAAGAAAGGGATCTAAAGGAAAGGGCGGAAGGGAGAAGACAGTAGTGCTGCATCTCCTGATACTCTCTTTACCAATAAAAAGGTATGAGTATATCTATAAATAAAGTTCTCTTTTCTTCTTCATTTTTTTAAAAATTTTCACGAGTAACTCACCCACCCTTCGAAGGAGGAAAAATGGCGGTAGAAGTGCTAGGCGCGGGGGAGTGTCTGGTTAAGGGAGAAGTTTATAATGGAGTAAGGAAGTTTTGTAGAAAGGAACTTTAATGAGCACTGTGTGACTTTAACTTTAATGAGTACTGTGTGACTGCGAGATGCCGTTCAACCCATAAAAATGACCCTTGCTCGCCAACGAGTCCTCAGCAGGTCAGAGGTTAGAGCATCCGATGTAGAACACGGAGGGTCGTGGGTTCGAATCCCATCTGGGGCTCAGATTTTTTCTGTGTCCTCTTATGGTTGATTCTTTACATCTCCCTTTATTTCCTTTATAATATTAATATCAGTGGCATAACTTTAAAAAGACCAGCAATAACTTACCTATTAGTTGTGTTGCTATTTCGCGCTTTATCTCTCCAATAATCTTGTTGAATTGTAAGTCTGCCTTTGAAATCTTCTGGGCTTCGGTGGACGGTCGCCGAAACATGCGATGCAAGGAAAATTCTGTGCTCCTTAGAGGTGATTTGAAATCATCTGAAAACGTCTCGTTCTTCTGAGATCTTAGGCGTTCAGAGCGGTCCACAGCAGCCGACTTGTTTTTAACCGCAGCCATGGAGGACTTCACGAATCCATTGCCAGCGTAATCAGGTACCACCACGACAGACACCTGCGTCGACTCGAACACATTTGGTTTTTCTTGAGTCCGAGCGACAACTTGTAGCACGAAGCTTGAGGCTTTATCACCAGAGACCAGTTCTGTGAGTTCTCTGCTAATTCTGAGAAAGCCTTTCGCGGGGTGCAGACTAAAATGAGGTTTTCCGTGAAAAGGATCTATAGACTGCAATCTATAGCGTACAGTTGAGTTCTTTAAGTGTTTGCTTTTTTCTACGCGCAGGTGCAGGATGGTCTGTCCGACGACCATGCTGCACGGGATAATAACAGAGTATATAGGACTGGGGAATTTTAAGCCTTGATTCCCCCTCGGTTGGGGTCGTCTCTTTTGCGCGCTTGTAACTCTGATAATGACCATGACATAACCTGAAACGACATTATCAATGCTTGCCTTCACTCGCAGGCGATAGTTAGACTTCCTCTGGAGTTTGCGGCGAACGGAAACTGTGCCTGAACAGAGGGAGAGAGACAAAAATAACGACACACAGAAAGACAAACTGTCGTAATACGGTGAAGGATTACCTAAACTGGAATAAAAAACTTTCATGGTAATGGTGATGTCGTGGATGAGGAGACGACAGTAAGTGTCTTTACTTTATTGTATATGAATAGTAGTTAGATCAGAGGTCACGGACAAGCCTCACCCCTTTGCTGTGGATCAACCGTAAGACGAAACTCTTCCCTAAAATTGATCACTAGAAATGTCTGAGATACAAGAGTGTTCGACTTTGGGAGAATGCTCAGAATACTAGGGTCATTTTTCAAAGTGCCCACAAATAATTTGAGACACTTTCCTGATAGGCTCGATTTCCGCTGGTGGGGCGCCGGCTCATTTCCCGAACAGCGGTTGGTAATCGAGCCTACTTTTCGTGATCGAATTTGAATTTGGAATGTTTACTTATGAGAGAGGGGCGAACCAGGTAACCAGACGAAAAACCAGTCGGAGGAGAGAACAAGCTCAACCCGCATGTGGCATGTCGATGCGGCCGATCTGGAGGCTGCATTGGTGGGAGGCGAGGTCTATACAGCACTATTCCTGCCCCCATCTACCTATGATCGTCGTACAACCTTTTTGTTTCTCCTTACTGCTTTGGTCCTCTTGTTTCCTTTTCCTTTGTTATTGTTTATAAGTATGTAAATGAGAATTAAAACAAAACTGAATGCAAGGCTGGAATATGGAAAAGGGCTGATTTATTTGAGGCCAAATGGGTGGCCAATAAAAAAATTAGCCTTTCTCAGGGCCAGAGCTACACTGAAAGAGAATACTATAAAGGCTCCTAAGATTTGAATTTAAATTTACATAACAGATTAATAGGGAACTTTAGATTCTAAACCCCTGTGCAAACGGATGCAACACTGTTGGCCAACAACTCCCTGAGCATTGTTAGAAGTTGTTGCGTCCGTTTGCACGTAGCTAAAAGTTTGACCGGTTTCAAACTTTGCGAAACAACACGCAGCAACATCCAACAACATGCAACAGGGAATACAAACGGGCGCAACATGTAACATCCAACAAAGTTGGGAGTTGTTGGCCAACGATGCTGCGTCCGTTTGCACGGGGCGTAAGACGAGAACAACTACGAGTACGAGATTCTCTCAGTAGTAAGTACTGCTCGCGCGTGAGCCAGCGTAATTTTGGCGGGAAAACGTGGTAGCCGTCGTCATTCTACTACGAGTTTTAATGTCGTAGTTGCGGGAACAAGTTATGAAATGTTGGAAGTTTTAGCATTTTGCAATCGGGAGAGGTCTTAACCTCCTTCAATATATAACGATAACAGTGCTAACTTTACTGACTTTCCTGGTGAAAAAAAAGTACAATGAAGAATTCCGGGGTGTCTATCTTTTGACAATACGTGAAAAAACTTGAAATCAAATCTCGTACTCGTAGTCGTTCTCGTCCTCGAATCTAAAGGTCTCTAACGATAAACTAAAATGAGAACAATAGATAGTACGATAGACAGGTAAATAATTATACAACAAGGTAGTCGATAAGGTACAGTTCTGGCCCTGAGGAAGGCTAATTTTGTTAGCCGAAACATTGCCTTCAAATAAATCAACACCTTACCATATTGCCAGCCTCGCATTCAGTTTTTTTAAAATTCCCACTTCAAGTCATGACGTCTGGCAAAAGCATCTCTACATTAGAGATCCGGGAAGAAAGAACCACTCGGTTTTATTTACGCTTTGAGTGGACCTCTTTTTAGGTGTTTAACATAGCAGCTTAAGACATGCCCACTGACATAACTTTTTATATTCCCAACAAATAAATGTATAAATCAGGAAATAGTTCAAGAAGTACGGTACCTGTCGATGGGTTCACTTCAAAAAATGCGGTTTTATCATTGTAAGGCTTTTTATTCACAGATACAATGGAATAATCGAATGCTCTTCGGGAATTCCTGGCACTGGCTCGAATTGTAAGAATGGAAGTGCCAGGCGGGGCCGTGATCTGTACTGATGAACGATAACGCTTCTTGGAGAATGAAATTGCGATGTCCTCTGGAATACAAGAAGAAAGAAGGTTAGCGATTAAGCAGGCTCGATGAATGGCCAAGAAATGAGTTCGCGCAGGGTATAGGTGGATGGTTATTTTGATAAACTCTTTTGCCCATGTCGGAAGCTCCCTTTGGGTGTTAGCTGCTTAGCTGTTAAGCATTTAACAATAAATAATAATAATGACTGAATTAATAAATGACAGCACTAAGGCCCTTTCAGATCTTATATAAAAACTTCAACTGAGTCGAGTTACTCACCAACGCATTTGCTTTCTTTAGGAACAAGGCGGAACCCTGATCGACATTTGCATCGAAAGCTCCCTGGGGTATTCACACAGTTGTGATGGCAGCCGCCATTCTTCCGCTCTGTGCACTCATCAATATCTAATAGGATATTTTTTAATAATGACTTTAATGTTAAACATTTTCGTTCCAATAAGTGGTCAAAGCCAAAACTGGACAAAAAAAAATACAAATTTTATTCAGTAAAGAGCTGCAAAACACATAGAACCATTAAATTACCAACAGAGAGACTTCATGCATTAGCTCGATTTGAATGGTCACAACATCATCTCGCCCACAGACTGGGATTGAGAAGGTTAAGAAGGAGAACAACTCACAAACTTTCTTTACATGATATAAATTTTGGTGTATTTTTCAATCCTCCGGTAGCTCGAGGTCGCGTAAGCATAAAAAACGGGAAAAGATTGAACACCTGTTTACATTGTTGTCATGTATTTTGACCCGGGGGGGGAGGGTACTTCCTAGTAATAGGCTAATGGGGATTTGCAGCTGGATGCGGTCGCATTTTCACGACTGGATTGACTATCATGGGGTTGCATTTTTAACTGGAATGGGGTCACACATGGTCAGGATTTTGGGGGAAAGAAAATTTAGATATGTAGGGATTTTAAAATAGAAAGATTTACACCACATTAAGTTTAGCAAATGTGTCAGTTTATTTCAGGATGACTTAGTTAAAAGGCTTTATAAGGTAGATGCTTAAACAGAAAGTGACTAAGTTGGGATCGCGAAAATTACTTTTTTCCAAAAGTGACTAAGATGCGGTCTATAACATGGCCACAGATTACACTATAATGGGGTAGGGGTTCTGATAGGCCAGCGGCACATACCCAGCAAAAATTAACTCAAAGTAACCCCCCCGTCCTTTTCAGGATTTCTGAGCCTTTGGACAAAAATTTGAACATATTCGGCAAATAACTCCAAACGTCAAGACTACAGACACACTCGTTCCCAGGGTCCCCTCCTACCCGTCCCTGTCTCTCGCTCCGCAGGGACATGTAGCAAATAACCCTGGAAACGAAGGTTGGACTAAAGAGCAGTATTTTTATATATAAAGTTTTCAGATATTCAGAAAGATAATTGAAACTTTCAAATTAGAATGAGTATACACCGCTGAATGAAAAAAAGAAAGAAAGAAAGAAAGGAAGAAATCTGGATCCCTTCCCCCCATAACCACGTACCCTCTGCTCCAAACCATGCTCTAAACCCACTCCGGCCACCAGACTTTGATTTGAAACGTATCCACAACTCATTAGCAGGAGATGTGACATTGCTGGGCTTTTGGTTGCCACAGAAAACCACCGAATCCTTTTTATTGCGAACAACATTAAAGTCAGTAAATCTCTGTTTTCGGGTACTGATCAAAACATACTCGTCCCGACAGGCTGGAGTCCTGCTGACATCGAAGCGTGCGTCAAAATGAATGTGAACTCTGAATCCTGTGTTAACTTTTATCTGCCATATACAGGTCTGTGCAGGATCATAGCTGTGTGGGTAACCCGGTGATTCTATGGTACCAGACTGTCCTGATAACTGAGTGATCTTACGCTGGCATTTACCTGAATGGAAAAGAATAACATGCTCAACCCTCTAGGTCCCAAGAGTGACCAATATCAATTTTCTCCTAACAACATCAGCAGATCATCAAGAGTAAAGGTTATGAGAATTACTAAATTGATCACCAAAGGAAGAATGTTTTGATCATAAACCAAATTCTCTCAACCATTATTACAAGAAATGTACGGAGATCAGTCTGGAGAATTTGTATGTGGATCTTGGGGCTTAAAGGGTTAAAGTAACTCGATTCCTAATGTTTGTGTGAAATTGTTGATTCTTCGTCCATCCATTCATTCATCGGTCTATTCATTCAGTCATTCATCCAACTATTCATTCATTCATTCATTCATTCATTCATTCATTCATTCATTCATTCATTCATTCATTCATTCATTCATTCATTCATTCATTCATTCATTCATCCATTCATTCATTCATTCATCCATCCAACTATTCATTCATTCTTTCATTCATTCATTCATTCATTCATTCATTCATTCATTCAGTCATTCATCCAACTATTCATTCATTCTCTCATTCATTCATTCATTCATTCATTCAGTCAGTCAGTCAGTCAGTCATTCACTCATTCATTCATCCATCCATCCATCCATTCATTCATTCATTCATTCATTCATCCATTCACTCATTCATTCATTCATTCATTCATTCATTCATTCATTCATTCATTCATTCATTCATTCATTCATTCAGTCATTCAGTCATTCATCCAACTATTCATTCATTCATTCATTCATTCATTCATCCAACTATTCATTCATTCATCCATCCATTCATTCATTCATTCATTCATTCATTCATTCATTCATTCATTCATTCATTCATTCATTCATTCTATTCATTCATTCATTCATTCATTCATTCATCCATCCATTCATTCATTCATCCATCCATTCATTCATTCATTCATTCATTCATTCATTCATTCATTCATTCATTCATTCATTCATCCATCCATCCATCCATCCATCCATTCATTCATTCATTCATTCATTCATTCACTCATTCATTCATTCACTCACTCACTCACTCACTCACTCACTCACTCACTCACTCACTCATTCATTCATCCATCCATCCATTCGGTCGTTCGTTCGTTGATATTCCGGCCTTCATGTTTTGTATGAAACAGGACCTTGATGTAACTTCGACCCGTTTAATAATAGGATCCAATGACGAAGACATTTTCCAAGTCTCACTCTTAAGAACGCAGTTTGACCGCGTAAGAAATGATGCATACTTTATAAGGGTTTTATAAGCCCTCTGCGTGGAAATTCTCTGACTTTCACGAGTTCTTTCATAGGTAATGATCTGAGTGAATGCAAGACAATCCAAGTCACTTCTACCGAGGTTTTGTAGCCTGTTTCAATATAACCCAAATAAGCAAGGGAATAAAATTAATTTTGGAAGAAAGATGCTTGTGTCGTTGTGACACGATGAGAGACCAGAGAGAAGTTCGGCAACTAAATTGTTTGTTTTTTTGTTTTATTCAGCGATAAATTTTAGTTCTAATTGGTTTAAATTGTTCTGATGATAAACCACAGGAAATAAACCAAGTGACTTTAGGATTATCATGGAGTCACTTGTGGCCTACACGCCAGATCAACCTCGTTCCCTGGGTCTTCACCTACTCGGGACCCTGGGAATGAGGTTGCATGCCAGCTGCGTTCTTTCAGCTGTTTGAGAACTACAACTGTATGTGCGATTTTCCATTCATTATTTTGCTATTCATTACAAGTTGTAAACAAAAATATCCCTCCTTTCGAGATCGAGACAGCTTGTCAAGTTTTAAAACAAATTACTCATTTTAGGCTTACAAACTAGTAATAACCAAAGGTTACGGAGTGCAGGTGACAACGATCGAAGGTCAAAACGCTTTTGCTCCAGCGCTGTGCTTTGCGTAAGTTCCACGTGACAAATGGTCAAAACACACTTGATCAGATGACGAGTGTTAGAATATCCAAACGCGCGTGTTCAAAGTACGTTCTGTACATTCCATACATTCTTAATGGAAGTCCAAACGAATGCTGGCTACTTACATGCGATGCATGCGTAATAACAACCTGGAGACAGGAGCCCATAACTGCTGGAGATTAGGATTGCGGGCTCCTCTTCTCGCCCGCAATGACCCGGTCCAGCACTCGTGATCAATCATGACCACGTTGCCAACTGTTGGTCTGCGTGGCAAGCCCTCCTCTTCCTCCCGAAGTTGGCAAGGACCTGATTTTGCCGCCCTTCCTCTTCTCTTATTAACGCTTAGCCTGCGACGCAGGTCACTAAATATTGCAAAGAACCTCTGGGGCACCCTTTGGACCGTGAGTTAGTGTCCTTAATTGAAAATGTTACAGTCAAGAAGACTTTTGCTGGGACTGATCAAACAACGTGAAATAGACATAAGTTGCGATATTTCGACTGGCCAATACCAGTCTTCATCAGGTTTATTGAGATATCACGAATTTACAGAAATATATATGAAGTAAAATAATGACCGGAAATTACATAATATGACGTGGTATGGTGTGGTTACTCAAGACAAGATAACAAAAAAATAAAAGATATACTATATCTATATATAGTTACAGTTCATCACAAGATATACTATATATAGTTACAGTTCATCAATAAACGTGATGAACTGTAACTATATATAGATATAGTATATCTTTTATTTTTTTGTTATCTTGTCTTTTTAAGAAATATCTCAATAATAACTCTATTTCACGTTGTTTGATCAGTCCCTGCTGAAGTCTTCTTGACTGTAACATTTTCAATTTTATATATTATGACTGATCACGATCTTTTTGGATCCGACGTTGAGCAAGATTGTTCGTACACGTTTTTGCAGTGGTTTTTTTTTTTACCTTAACTAAGTGTCCTTAATATTGAGAGTCCGTCCGTAATAGCGCCATACGATAAGAAATTCCTTGAGATCAATCGCATTAGAGGGCTTACGCTTCTGGGGTAACTCCCCGTTATAGTCTCTACTTACTTATCTGTATTTAGTTTATTTTATTAAAAAATAAATAAGAAATAATGTTTATTTTACTTTGGAGTACAGAAAGAACCTCCTTTCCAAGGAAAAGGTAGAGTAACCGAGAGGCCTATCACTAAATATGACCAATCCTAACAAAACAACCAGATTCCCAGGGCATTTCCCGTCCCTCTCATTTTCTAAAGAAAAGCCTTTATTACGAGGTGGTTCACCAACAAAATAAATGAATAAATAAATAAGTAAACAAGTAAGTTACATCCCTAAGTGAGACAACGTTCATATTGTAAAGACGCTACCCCAAAATACCTATCCACTCTGCCGGGGTGACGGTTGACTAGCTACTCTCCATTTGGGGGACATCGTGAAAAGTACACGCGCGAGAGGCACGCTTCGCCGCTCGCTCGCGCGTTCTCACACGGTACCTTCTCGCGCGGCTGGTTTCGCTCGTCCAAATAGGATAGCTTGCTTGCAAGCTACTGGGTAGCTTAGTCGAGGACTCCTTTGCCTTGATCCCTGGAAGTCGCTCTACGGTCACTTAGCTTGGTCAATGAAGCAACCTGGCAAGTCTTCATCATTCTTCATTTTTTTTGTTTTCGTGGGAGAAAAGCCAAACACAACTGAAATATTTCACTGTGCCAGGCCGCACGTTTGAATTGAAAAATAAATCCGACAAAGGCAAAAGGATTATAAAATCAATGACACAAGCCCACAAGCTTTCAGGTCTAAGTTTCCTGTTAACAACACGAAATTCTACTAGCGCGTTCTATTATTTAATACAGGGATTATTGTCTAGTTCTTACCAGCGGAAACGTTAGTAAACGCTATGCCAAGAATGCTTGTTCTGTGGAGAGACAAAGAACACGAGAGAGTTACAATGAAAACAGAAAAACACAAAATCGTTTTGTTGATCTTTCATCTCGTAGGATTATGTTCTCACTGTAAGTTTTAGAATAACATGCCTACTTGTAAAGACGATATTCTCTAGAAAAGCTACTTACAATGTGACAATGGCCAAGGGAATCATTTCCACTGTTTGAGTCCGTACGCTGCGAAGACAGCACAAAAAAAAGCGCCGAGGAAACCGCAAAATATCACGATCACCAAAATAGTAACCCCAGGGGAGACGCTGGCTAGCATATTCTCCTTCTATGAATGGCTGTCGGCTTTAAAAAGGAAGTGCGTAGATTCGTAAATAAACATCTTAAGCGTTAAAATGACTATTGTAGCGGAAGTCTGAATGGTCACCTGATGCCAAAAAGAGAGGAACTGCTAATGACAGCCTCTACCCTATAAACTAGTATTTGGCGCAGCTTACAATAGCGATTAGCGGTTCATTCTCTTCGTCAGTTTAACGGGATTGTTTAGGGACGGACCATTAGAAACCTTATGGGGGGAGGGGGAGGGCGGAAGAAGTACAAAAAAATATATTCGCGCAAGGGAAAATGACATGAAAAAAAATTCACGCACGCCAATTAATGCTTAACAATATTCATGCTATGGCCTAAAAAAAATTCATCTAAGGAATTTGATAACGAAAAAGAATTCCTGCCGCTCCAAAATTCCCTCCCCCCCCCCCAATAACTTTTCTAGTAGTCCGTCCCTTTCTGTGTGCGTTCTTCCTTCTCTTCACTTGAACACGTCAAAATCATTTCTTGATATAAAACATAACAAAGAATTTGTTTGAACCCTGCAGTGCATGTATTGGCCAAAAATAAAATGTCACGACATTGCCAGAGTAGAAATGATTGCTTGTGTGACATTCCAGGAATCAAATACTCCGGGGTCTAGTTTATCGCGCCTTCAGCCTGCCTCAATTCCAGGACTAATCTAACAACAACCAATATAATAATCGATAAGCTTGATGTAGATTACGTAAATTTCCGTGAGCATTTAGCCGGCGAATTTAATACAGCCGTATCTCTTAAGTGCTCGCTGCTTGAAATGAAAATGAGTTTCGAAGTTTCTCTCCCGCAAACTTCACAAGCGACGAGGGGCGATGAGAGACGGTTGTATTGGCAGGCTAGTGAGCAATCTATAAAACGGGCAATGGACCAATGAAAGTATGCTTGGGAAGGACTCCTGGCTCAGACAATTTCAATTTCTACCAGCCCCGGGGTAGCTCGGGGTGTGACCGGACTGTTCGTGATGAATCATGACGAGTCATATGCACATCTCTTAGTGGGGTTCGTGTTTTTTTTTTTTTGCTGGCCTTTGCATCTTGTCTGACGCCCATGATTTTGGGACAACACCTATCCTTAAAGGTTTTTTATTTTTTATTTTATTTTTTTCAAGACTGCGAGTAAACGCTGTAAACGCGCTTATCGCGCGCTCTTAATGATTTTTCATGAAACAAAGCCTGCTCGCAGTCTAGACCCGTCTAGGCTTTTTCCTGGTCTTTTTCCAGCCATAAGAATCAACAAAACGCAACAACTGCTGTGCAGAATGTACCCTACCAGCCCTATCATGCTTTTCCTGCCAGTCAGTCAAGAATATCCTCACATAATCAAGAAAAGGTTTCGTGTCCTTTGAATGAGGTGCCCCATGAATAGAGTTGACCCAAAGGAGAGGTTTCACTACACTTAAAACCTGTCTTTTTTCAAAGATTAAGGTTCACCAAGAACTATCACACTGACCCTTGGTTCCTCGTTGAGGCTTTGCGTGTTTTGTGGATCAAAGTCCCTTTGTTATGGTCTATTGAAAGATAAAGAGACTATCTGAGAGTGAGATTATAACCTTTTAGTGCAGCACGGAAGATATTCTTCTTTCTTTCAGATTCTCACTCCTCGATTCATTAATCGCTATCAGAGCAAGGCAGGGGCCTGATAATGTTCGCCCAGTATCCACATAAAAATTCTCCAGATTGATCTCCATACATTTCTTTAAAAGATTAGTTGAGAGAATTTGTTTAAAGATCAAAGCATCTTTCTTCAAGTGATCATTATGAAATTCTTATAACCTTAATTCTTTGTCATGTGTTGAGTATTGGGGGAAAATTGATGTTGGTCACACTGGAGACTTAAAGAGTTACTATCAAAATAGTGAAGACAAAGGTGGTTGTAGTCAGCTCTTGAGATCATTAAAGCCAAACAAAACTGACTGACTGCTTCGGATAGAAGTGGCTGAAGTGGAATTTGTCGGTAGCTCCTAACGGTGGTGTAACAGATCTGCCTAAAAGTGAACCGGTTGTGTTCATTGATAGAACCTTGGATTTTTTCCTAGAACAATAATTCCACGTGCCTCCCTAAAAATTACGTCATTCACTGCAGATGAAGTTTAAACCTTAAAGCAGGCGATCATCGTTGTTCGTGCCTCCAGCACATGTGCATTCTTCTACTTAAAAATACTACAGCACCAACAGACTAGACGTGAAGACTGTTTTCAGAACAAACAAACAAAAGATATTGGGGATGTAAAAATACCTTCTTTTTTAAAGGTGGGTTAGGTCAAACGGTACCAAAACTCGCAGTTGGATGACTTTGAAGCCTACGTCATAAAAAAAGGTTCTTTTATATTTAACCGCACCGACTGAGGGGACTTTTGCCGTGGGTTCTTTGCAATGTTGAACATATTAAAAAGTTCCAAAATAAGTTTTCTGTTATACCCACAATATACTTAGCCATGTCCATGGATTTTTGTTTTGTTTTGAGGGAAGGAGCCACACCCATTTTCCCGTCTGATGCTGTAATTTGAACTTACTTTTCAACACTGCTCGTTAACGTAATAGTATAGCGGGCACTAGAGGTCATTTTACATCTCATGATCTTTGTGTCCACGGGTTTCCTGTTTTGCTCACCCACTGAGACTCATGACAGCTGTCAATCTTCTTAAACAATGAATAAAACCCTAGTGAACGTAGGCGCGTGCCATAGAAAAGAATTATCGTTCTAGGACCGTACTATTACGCGCTTTGTCTTTTGCGTGTGTCACTTATTCATGAGAAGCTTTAAGCCCAAGAACCATGAAATTTCCTAGGTATGTTCACCTCTTAACTTTTACCTATTTTCGTTTTTCTTTATTTTTTCCTTTTAATTTTTTTTTTTTTTTTTCATTGACGGGTTTATTGTTTCATTGTCTCCTACTGGTTATTAGAAGCACGTTCGAGTAACTGACTTGCATCATGTGTGAATCTCATCCTAGATTTCTACCCTGTCTTCTGTTTCTGTTGTTTGCTGAGGTCATTTCTAGTTCAGGTACTTCTTGTCTTAATTGCTACTATGTAATTTTTCATGTAACAGCTTGATTATTACGTGGGAGTTTGTGATAGTAAACGCGCGTTCAGCTTGAGAGGAAGTCGAACATGATGTAGTCTTGTGCTCAAACCAGGTCATGAAATGTCAAATACAAAACCTAGCTCATAATCAGTTCAGTAAGTCTTCCTTTCTTTGTGTCCTATGATAGTTATTTCCTTGTGACTCCTGCTTTAGTAATCTCTTTAAGCGTTTTTAATAGCCACGGCGAAAAATCACAATTAAAACTGATAAGGCGCATTCCTTTTTACAGCAGTAAACATACTGGTAACGAGATTTGTCTACATTACCAGTGCTGATAATTCCATCAGCCTGGGCAATGGAAAATCACTGAGATACATATCTCTGTATTTATGTGATATAGCGCGCTTACAGTCGAGATCACCGTCGATTGACGTCTTTGCAGAGTGTTACACATTTGTTTACAGAAAACGAATTAATGACATCGTCAGTTCAACTAACAGGAAAACGATATTGGCCAAATGCTTCCTGATTTCACACATTACTGATATCTCAAAAGAAAGCAGACAGAATCTTAGCTTATGCTTGGTGGTATTTAATTCTATAAGCCCCTGACCTATTCAGTTGAAACAACATTGCATACCGTTTCTCTAATAGACCCATTCACGTTTATTATCACTGTCGGAATCACAGTGGTGTCTCCTTTTCAACCAGCTTGGCGCCAAAGTTTTGTGTTCACCAAAGTGCTCAATTTAGATGTTTGAACCACGTGATTACATGACTGAACTAGCGCCCAGAAATTGCACAGGAGTTTTCCTAACTCAGATATATTCGTTCAACAACAAATGACCGCTGAGTCAGTCTCCTCATTGGGTTCTAGAGGGCGGTGATTTGTGATGACTGACCTAATGCTTACCGGAAATCCTGCTAAAATTACAATAGAAGGGTCCTTGAGGATTATTGACTTACAGTTATACGAAAAAGTGTTTTACAGCTGCATTTCTAGGTTGCTCGTTTTATGGGCTTTTCCTCTCAAAACGATTGGCTTGATAAAAAAAGTCGTCAAAATAAAAGAATCAAGACGTCAAGAACTGAAAACTTTGAAAAGAAGAAAAATACAGTGGTAGTGAAAAGAAAACCAGGAAGAGAGGAAGCCCTTGTTGACAAAAGCAGTTTTTCTTACTATGTAAAGGTTTTTAAGTTTGCTTAAGTGGTTGTTGTTTCTTTCTTTCTTTTTTTGGCAGTAACCCAACTTGTAAATTTGAGATACATCTCTTGGTTGTACCGAACAAAAAAAAAATCCATTAATTGGATTGTTTTATTCTGAGTCAAGCTTTCTTTTTAGCCGAGTGCTATTTTCAGGTGCTTTCTTGACCAGTTGACCTGAACTCAACATGATACACTAAGAGCACTTTACAAGTCTGACGCACAGTCTTCTTCAAAGGTGTTATTAATTGGCAATTAATTGAGTCCTAAAAACAACTGCAATATATCCCAAATCCTACAGCTAAAACCTTTATTAGTTACAAAGAAAACTAACCTGGAAGGAGTTCTTGATGCAACCTATAACACATTGATAACCTTATGAATACAAACAGGGAGATTGTCGCTTAAGCCGCTTGGAGAGTGCCATTGTTAAAATCAATAAGAACAGTCTTGGTTTTTATTTTTTTAAGTAAGTGAACTCAGATTTTATTATTTTGGAATCGCATCAATTCTAGTGAAAATTGCATTATATTGTAATACAATTACCGTTTCCCGTTGACCAGATGTGACACGCCATTTTTGAAATCCATTTTATATGATGTCTCGTGCCACTAAAACCCCAATGGCATTTTTTCAAAGTTTTCCTGTGAAACTTAGACTTAGAGAATTGAGGACCAAAGCAAATTAAAGTTCATGACGGTGGGTCTTTGATTTCAGTTATTCCGCCGACATGCGCGGGTCGCCCCTTTCACTCCCGCCAGATCAGAGTGAATCATGGCGTCCTGTAAGAATTTTGAGTCCAGTGGTGTGACCGGCATTCAATGAAACGATGAAATTTGGAAATTTGGTTGAATTTTGACTGTGCTCGTTTCTGGATGTGATGGAAGCGGTCATTTTTTTACCCTTCAAATGCAGTACACTTTGGAGAGACTGGAGTTACAGTGGTAAAAAAAATTAAAAAGGAACCTCGATATAACGAAACCGCGTTATAGCGAACAAATTTTTTCATGCCCTTGGCCCTTCGTTAAATTGAAGTTCCACTGTACTTGCCTTGTTTATTACAATTCTTTAAACAGCAAAACTAGCGAACAAAACTAAAAAGACTGCCCTAGCTATAGCTAAATGTTCAGTGCCGCTAATAACAACATGAAATACCTATGTACAGTATACAGCACAAAAGAAATGACCTAAACCACAGAAAGTATCGATATTTCGTCCTGTGAATATGTATTTTTTCCTTTTTAAAGAATATCACGAGAATCTGTTAAGCCTAAAATCGGCAAAAATATAATTATTCAGCTTAGGCCAAGAAGAAAATGTAGTCAGGCTTAATTCGTACACAAAAAATTGTTATCAAATTTGACCAGCAGAGCAAGTATTGGATCAGTAAATCCTGCCGAAATCCTGGACTTCCCGTGGTTTATAGACCTCTCCAAGAAGTTGTGTCAGTATAATTGCCCGTAGGTGCTTAATTTGTTTATACAAAAGATGAGTAAGCGTCTTCATTTGGAGAGTTAAGTTCTCAGTGGCATTTCCTCTGTAGCATCCGGCTCGATTGTCTTTTCAAACAAAAAATCACCATCGCTTTCACCATGCAAAGTTGGTGTCCTTTGAACACTACCTGAGCGTGAAATACTCATTTAAATTCCTCCACGTTTATTTTTTGGGCATATTCTTTAAAATCATCTCAGCGAAACCTGAAAATGGCGCTACTGACACTTATAATGATTCTAAACTTCCCATAAACGAAACCCTCTCCTCAACGATCCTTCTTCTTTCATCAAATTTACCTTGCTAGGGGTATTTCGGAATAATGACTTGTCAGTAGTAATAACAGAAGTCATTACTAAGATTTCTTGGAAAATTTATTATGACGAAGTTGTTAAAATAATTTTCAGCTTTCTCTTTGCTGTCAGCTCGAAGAATGACAAAACAACTCAAAAAGTAGCACTGAGCGTAGAACATACTTCAAAGTGCAAGTGAGCAGATCGTCCGAATATGTAAGACCAATAATTCACAAAATAGAGTAAATGCAAAAATTGAGTTTAAATTTCACTCAGTTTAGAAAACTTGTCAGCTCCTAAATTTGATCCATATTTTTGCAAGACAGTACGTGGCGGAATTTTTCCCCTTTTTTATTTTCATGATTAATTCCCAAGGTTATTTGGTAACAGTGCTCAAAATTTTCAACAATTAATACTTAATAACATAAGGCGTCTCCAACGTGAGATTCTTGAGAAAAACATCCGATCTCTAATTTGTCGGGGTGACATTGACCTGTGATTGAGATGTCAATGATTTTGTCATCAACTGTTTTGGGTTACACTGAATAATTTTGCTGTGATTTAACTACTGATCTCTGTCAACACCAACTGCGAACGTGAATTGTCTCTTAAGTAATATTTTTTTTCACGAGAAAACTCATCTTCGTTCTCTTTACGGTTAGTGTTCCTGTTGCGAAGTTCTCTCAGGGAATTCAGGTCTTCCCATCTCCCCAAAATAGAACCAACATTTCTAAATATTTGCAAATGGATCAGGTCTATGGTATAAACTAGGCGAAAACCACTTTGAGGATGTGCTATCAAATTATTATTATCTATTTAATTTATTTCATATTTGTTGAGTTTCGGGTAGTCGGCCGTCTTATTCATCTCCAATTAAGTGTCTGCATTGCTAAATAGCCCGCCGAGACAAAAAAAACATGATCAGACTATACAAAGTACCATGTTAATCCTGGATCAGTTTCTTATACATCAGATCACAGTGATTACAGATTGTTGCCATCAAACTTCAGCGAAAATCACGGAGCTTATTAACTGGCCCGATCTTCGTTTGAATCAATGCGAATCGATCACACAATAGCTTGACTGCGACTTGAGGTTGCTACAACAAAGGACTTTTTCGAAACTCTTATAAAAAGTGTGCACTCCGTCCCGCCAGGCTGGAATGCGTGCACAGTGCATATAATCCTCTCCTGTGATTAAATATCCCCTAGAGTACCCCCGGAAGGGCTTACTCCCTGTAATGGAATATACTCCGAGGCTCAGTCTAGAAAGGGAGCCCAGTGAAGGAAAAAGGAGAAAGATATCTCCAAGTCGTAGGATACTAACTACTAATCCGTAGACAATATTAAAAAGCGATACCAAATGATCTTTTTATCACTTATTTTTCACCTCCAGTGAAAGGGGAAATTCATTGCAGCAAAAAGATTTGCCTGGCACTTTATTCTGGTCAATAATTTACACTGTTTGTTACTACAGATCGAACCTTATAATCTGTAATTTTAGGCGCTGTGAAGTGTGGTGGAAATCGCTCTGGCTTCTTTGGCGTTATCAAGTCCCCAAACTTTCCTAACACGTACCCCAATAATGTTCACTGTGTGTGGAACATAACAGTCCCCAAAGGTCATCGAATAAGAATACGCTTCACAGTAATCGACATCGAGTTCTTCTTCCAGTGTGATTACGACTGGCTCTCTTTGCGCTCTGGTAATAGCACGCTGGGACGATTTTGCGGTTCCAAACACAAGACAATAAACAAACATCATAGCAAACTCCCTAAGGAGTATGTTATCTCGCCAACCAACGAATGTACCATTACATTTCACTCGGACTACTCTAACGAGGAATCATATGCTGGCTTTAGAGCGCATTATATCGCTGTTGGTAAGATTATGTGACTCTAGTTATTACAGTAATTAAGCCCCTTCCCTCAAAGAAGACATCCCCCGCGAATAAGCCGCCCCCCTTCCCGTTTTTAGGGAAAGAGAGTTATTAAGCCCCCTTCCCATCCCCCTTTATCTTGAATGATAAACTGTAACACTCCACGTGGATTGATCCGATATGATTTATTCACTTGCTGAAAGTTGGATTTGTTACCTTACTTCTTGAATGCATACTGTAAATCCTCTATTAAGCTCCCCCTCACAAATAAGCCCTCCCTTTTCAGGGGAAGAAAGTTAAGAAGCTCCCCCTCTCAAATAACCCCCCCTCCCTTCCCCTTGTTATTATTATTCACTAATAAATAATAGACTGTATTAATCAATCACGACTGTAAATCTTCGTTTGACTGATCTGGGATGGTTTATTCACCAGCTGGAAGTTCGGATTTGATTTTGGTCCTCGGATGCATGACCTCCATCCAACTTCTTGTACTTTAGCTTTTCCACTTTGAATTCGATCCAGTCCTTTATGGAGTACTGATACCATCGTCTTTGCTAAATTGAATAAGCTCCCCTTTCTCAACTAAGCCCCCCGTCTCTATTAAACCGCCCCCCTCAAATGTGCTTGAAATGAATAAGCCCCCCGTGGGGGAGGGGGGGGGGTCTCAATAGAGGATTTACTGTAGTCCATTCACCTAGAAACACAAATCTCTTCAACTGATCCGGCACTTACATGTGCCAGCTGTTCAGTGCGGCGTTGATCACGTGTTGTTTGTTTTTATTGATGTCAAAATAACAACATTAATATACAACATACAAAATAAATAAATGAATAAATAACAAAAAATCATTTGTTGTTATTGCAGATGAAGATGAATGTAAAAGCGAGAATGGCGGCTGTGATCACTACTGTCACAATTACATCGGCGGCCATTACTGTTCTTGTCGTCTCGGATACAGACTTCAGCCTGATGGCAAGTCATGCCATTGTAAGCAGATATATTTCATCGCGTTTTACTTTTAAAATAACTCTTAGCTTTTTTTTCTTCTTCTTCTTTTTTGCCGAGGTTTTGTTTTGTTTTGTTTGTTTGCTTCGATATTACCTGTAATAACGTATCAAATGACCTTGAATTTCTAGGGAGGACTGATTGGACAGCATTCTAACTATAAGAGTTAATTTTCCAGTGTAAAACCTTACTTTCGAAATGTAATGAAACTTTCTCTTCAAGTAACTTGAAAAGTTTGAAAATTTCGTTTTTTATGATAATAAACTGACATCTTTGAAAGAGCCAGAGTAGCAGAAAACAGCTTGCATTCCTGCCAAGCATTTTGTTGTCGTTGTTGCCGTTTGTTTTCAGTATCCTGACCCGACGTTACCTTGTCCTCTTTTTATATTTCAGTCATCTGCAACAACCAGATCATTCAATCTAGAAGAGGAGAAATAACATCTCCAGAATATCCGCAGAAATACCCCAAAAACTCCGATTGTGATTGGACAATAACCGTGGAGAAAGGATATCAGATAACGCTAACTTTCCTCGAGGTATGATTCTTATAGTTTTGCACATTCCCTTCGAAATGATCGATAGAAGAGCCATTTTTTATGGTTCTTGATCGATACTATTGGTGGAAAAAATAATCGAAAAAACTTGTTAAAACTGCAACAATAGCTTTTCCATCTGGCAAGTAAATTCGTCGTCAGATTTCATCACTCAATTCTACTGTTCACGTACATGAGCAAAAGTAACTATCTCAGGGAAAAAAAATCGTAAAATTTGCTCTTAAGAACGGTGCTTTACATTCGGGAATCCCCAAATTTTACCTCTTGATTTTTATTTAGAGGAATCATCAGCCTCTTAAACATTCCTTACTCCCCTAGCATAGTCATTAAAGCGGGAGCAAAAAGAAGTGTCCGCATTAAAAAGGTGTCTGTATTACCTAGGCACGGATTGTATAACGTTTGTCATCTTTGGGACCAAGAAAAGTGTTGTAAGGAGAACTGCAAGGTAGTTGAAAAAACCTAGAGCGGACAGGACCGGACCGGACCTATCCTAGGCTCAGGAGTACCGCGGGCGCATCGAGACACCCACGGCTGGAGACTGAGCTTAGACCTATCCCTAACCCTCCTCCCCCCCCCCCCCCTTGGGGGATACCCCCTTTTATAACCCAATTGGGTTTGAACGGCCCCAAAGGGTAGGGGGTTTTCGCCGTTTTGGTCTGAAAAGGGTAATAGTCGGGCCGTTTTGTTCTGGAATGGGGTATGGTGTTGGGGGGACCTGGGGGGGGGGGGTAAGGGATTTTTATTTTTAGGTCCAAATGTTTTTCAAAAAAAGGTGTGTAAGGGGAACCGGAAGGTAGGTGAAAAAACCTAGGGGCGGCAGGACCGGACCCGACCTATCCTAGGCTCAGGAGGACCGCGGGCGCAACGAGACACCCACGGCTGGGGACTGAGCTTAGACCTTTCCCCAACCCCCCCCCCCCCCCCCCTCCTTGGGGAGTACTCCCTTATATAAGCCATATAGGTATGAACAGCTCCAAAGGGTATGGTGTTTTCGCCGTTTTGGTCTGAAAATGGGTATAGACTGGCCATTTTGATCTGGAATTGGGTATGGTTTTCGAGGGAACTGCGGGAGTGTATGAACGTATTTATCATTTTAAGTCCAAATGTTTTGAATACCTGAGAAAGAAAAATATGCGAATTCGAAATGGATTTTGTGAAATCGCTTCTGTTAGCGTTCTAATCCAAGTAATGATAACATAATTTCTTAGAGCCCAGGTCTGAAAAGGGGTATGGATTTTAGAGGCCAGGTCTGACAAAAGGTGTGAAAAATAACATTTTTTTGTCTGAAATAGGGTCAGGATTTGGACAACCGGGAAGCACACCCCCCCCCCCCACGGGCCCTAACCTTTCGTCATTTAGTAAGTTGCCGTGGTTGATCTTCTCCTATCCTAGCCGGATTTTTCCTGATACTTGAGGTTAGACTGTTCATGCGCTTTATCTTACATCGAGTCACCTCTTTATTTAGTTTGACATAGAGGAACATCCCGATGTCGTTTGCCCTTACGATTACCTAAAAGTAAACGCTGGTCAGAAGAGAAAGTACGGTCCTTACTGCGGCAAAAAGCTTCCACGGAACATCACCTCATCCGGGAACTACATTCACATCGAATTTGTATCTGATGATTCGGGAAATTACAGAGGATTTAAAGCCTTCTATGACACACACGGTACGTAAAACGATGTTTTTAGTAATTAAAGGTCTTCTCGTTTTTTAGACTCCGGTGCAAACTTTGTTCTCTTATTATTAGAAAGTAATTTTTAATAGTGCTGTGCTATTATCATGTTCAAAAATGTTTTTTGCGAGTGATTGTTCAGTTTTTCTGCGTGTATTAGCCATCTTTGATTTTATAGCCAAAGGGTATCATTGTCTTTTTATCAACAGGAATTCGGTGTCCTCCTTTAACCGCACCGGATCACGGGAATATGACAGGAGACGATTTTACGTTCAAACAAACTGTGGCATTTGCATGCAATGAAGGCTATCTTCTGACAGGCTCGGCCGTGAGAGAATGTAAAAACACCGGAGACTGGGACGGAACTCCACCCGTCTGCAAACGTATGTTAAATTGAGAGCTTGTTTTAAAAGTTCTGACCTTTATCTAGCAAGTTTGATTTATTTATGTGTTTGTTACGTGGCGTTGGAACAATGACTACAACCAGTTTTTCGGAGCCGCCCCTAAGTTAAAAAAGAAAAGAAAACAAAACAAAACAAACAAAAAAACAAAGAACAGAAAAAAAAACAGGGAGGAAAGCAGGCAAGAACAATTTCAATTTTTTTGGCGTTGAAAATTAAAAGGCTACGATAAGATTGTCCATTTTAAGCACCTATCTTTCAATACGAAATGTCAGACATGAGGAATGATATCAGGGACGCTTTAAAGAATTCAGGAATACCGGTTTTTAATTTGTGGCCATATATAACAGACTCGATTTGAGTGCTTTTGTTTCTTCCCTTCAAATAGCGGTGAACTGTGGACACCCGGGAAAACCACGTCATGGGAATATAACTGAGAGTGGATTTACCTACCAAAAGGTTGTAAGTTTCTCCTGCAATAAGTATTTTGAGCTTCAAGGAGACAGAACACGGCAGTGTCAAGCAGATGGGATATGGTCTGGAGAGCAACCGAAATGTATTGCAAGTAAGTTGCTGGAATGGGTCTGGAATCTTGATCTAAAAAAAATTACGTTCTCTGTTTTAAAAAGTGGAGTTGTCAGGAGATATTGATAAGCCCAATTGCGTATTGCTTGTACGCCTGGGGCAGAGAAGTCCCGTATGGTTTGAATCTCATCGGGAGATTTGAGAAAAAGGGATCGGGAAAAATCGGAAATATTTTGCGGTGTGTATTTATTTTATCTTTATTCTTGGTTTGCAACCACGAGACAAGGCGGCCATGTTGGGGTCATTACTGACAATATAATTTTTTCACGAAGAATTAAAATGAAAATTGAGTTTTGTTCCCAGGGGAGAAAAATGCTTTTGTTCTTGACCGCCAACAGAGTCGCCTTGACGTCTCGTGCAAACCAGCAATACTAGGCCGCTTCTGTTGCCATCTTTTGTGTTTGCAGATTATAAATTAAGTCTTTGAAGGACATGTTTGTTCCGTTCAGTGGCGAATCTATCTCTTGGCACCTCACCAAACATTCTGGCTTTAACCTAGACCAGTCTCTCTTTTTCTTCAGAATTAGTGCGGGGAGTGCAAACGCGCGCCATCAATCACACGCCTGGTCATGTTCGTGTTTCGCGCGTTTTGCTCAACGGACTGAAAAACGAGAGACTGCTCGTAGTCTAGCTGTAACCCGACGAATAAATTTCTCTCCATTTAATTTCAGCGTGTGGAGAAGTGAATCACTTCAATACTACAAGTGATGTTTGTCGAAAGAGGATTGTTGGTGGACAGGACGCGCGCAAGGGCTCTTATCCTTGGCATGTTCTTGTAATGAAGAATAATCTGATCGCTTGTGGTGGAAGCCTGCTGAATGAACGATGGGTCTTGACAGGTTTGTAACTAAAATAATAAAATAATAATAATAATTATTATTATTATTACTACTACTACTACTACTAATAATAATGATAATTATTGTTATTATTATTGTTATTATTATTATCATCATCATCATTATTATTGTTAACAACAACGATTATGATAACAATAATATTATTATCATTAATGATAATGATTATGTTGATGATGATGATGATGATAGCGGCTTTCTGAAAGTCTATGCTCACGTTAGGGACCAATTGTGGCGTGACTCATCGACAACCTCCCATAATTGGCTTTCAAATTTTGTCAATTCAATATATATTTCTCTTACAAAAGGTGGGACAGAACTCTATGTTGTTTTGCCAGCTTTTACCGTCTAACTCCGACAATTATGACCGCCTGAAACATTTTAACAAAGATCCAGGACACGCAAACAAGCCACAAAGGCACAAAATAACAACCGTTCTCTCGTCTGACTTGCTTTCTCCTTGCAACGCAATAATATTTCAGAAATATTTCTGGTTTTCACGGTTTTGCGAGTTTCACAGTGAGCCAAACCCATCCATAGTCCTTTGATAGCTAATTCTTAACTTATGCCTTATTTTTCCTAGCTGCCCACTGCGTGAGAGACAGATCGAGTGGTATTGTAGGTCTTTCCGTTTTGAAGATATTTGCTGGCCTTCACCAGATCCGCAAACTAAACGACAGTCACGTGCAGAGAAGAAAAGTAGTTCAAATTATAAGTCACAAGAATTTTGATTTCCGTCTGTTTGCTTCTGACCTGGCCCTTTTGAAGCTGGATCGTGAAGTCAGAATATCACACTATGTTAAGCCTGTATGTCTGCCAGAAGGACAGTAAGTTATTTTACAAGCTTTATAAAGATTGGAAACTGATAGCTATCATAGTTGCAGAATTTACAAGGGGCCACAAAGCAAGTACACGCATGCGCAATAGAGCTTTTTTGCAACGGTGACGACGACGGCGACAAAAACGCCAAAAAAGCTATGCGTTTTATCACAAAACAACAACTTTGCACGTGCTTCACACTCTTAGATACATTTCTTGCCTTCCTTGGACGACTACGACGTTGATTAAGCTCCCTAGTGACTTACCCAGGTAAAAAGCATGAAATTTTGGCGATGCAACCTAAGTATCCATTTATTTGTTAACCTACTTGAGCGCTCTGAAGAACTCGCTTGAAAGAAAGGGTTCGTGTGTTAACGTTCCTGGACGAATTGAATTTTGACTCAGAGTTGTTCATTGAGAAGAGAGAAAAATTGCACTTACTGGAGAAAAACATCTCAGATGGCCAAGGGTATTGAAACCCGGCAACATTAATGGGTAGTGAGTGTTTTAGCCACTGCGCAAACCTTGCTCCCCAGTTACTTAAGTTACGGTTTGTTATGCGAGACTAACTGAAGTATCTTTGTTGCTTGGAAAGAAATTCTTTGATGGGAGGGATTTTGGTTTTCCCAACAGTAGCATGTTTGCATTATTATAATTAGTAGATCTAACTTTCTCCACATTTTACTCAGGGGCGGATCCAGGAATTTTTTATTGGGGCGGGTCCAAACTTTGGTTCAGAAAGGATTGTTGAACTTTTTTGTGGCTAATTGCTTCTCCCTCACTCCCCCACACCCCCCACCCACCAAACGTGGTTGCACGTTATAATTCCTTGGCCCTTACCTTGTACTTCAATTCTACTCGTAAAGGATGCATCCTTGGAATTTAGTTTAGTGACAAAATGCAACGCACGTTTCATTGAAAAAATCAGCCAGTTAAAAAATGATATACGATCCTGTCGATGAAAGAATTTCAGTCTCAAACAAGCGTCAGGTCTGATAGGGGGCGGGGGGGGGGGGAATCCGTACCCCCCAGCCCCCCCCCCGGGTTCCGCCACTGTTACTAAATTCCACATTAACTCCTTTTATTTTTAACCCCCTAAGGCGAAAAGGTCTTTTTGACCCGGGAAATTTTGAAGGAGGGGTAGTCTTTGTCTTAAATTATACGTTGAAGGAATGAATTCTTGAAATTAGGATAAGCAAAAAAATAAAACGCACATTTAATAAAAAAAATCAGACAGAAAAAAAAAGATAAACGACCCGGTCGAAGAAAGAATTTCAGGCTCAAACAAGCGGCAGGGGGGGGGGGGGGGGGGGGGGGGGAATCCGTACCCCCCAGACCCTCCCCCTGGATCCGCCACTGTTACTAAATTTCACAGTACATCGTCTTATTTGTAACCACCATAGGCAGAAGAGTCTCTTTGACCCTGGAAAATTTGGACGAGTGGTAGGATGGGGCTACAAAGTAAGCAAGAGCTCATTTGGGCAGTTTGCCAACACCTTGAAAGAGATCTGCATCCCCACCATCAGAAATGACGTATGCAAGGCGGCGTTTAAAGACGAAGGTCACAAAGTGACACCACAAATGCTCTGTGCAGGGGAAGCCTCAGGTGGCAAAGACTCCTGTCAAGGGGACTCTGGGGGTGGATTTGTCTTCCAAGATCCTGTCGTCAAGAAGTGGGTTCTGGGTGGGGTCGTCAGCTGGGGCAGTAACTTTGGATGCGGCTTACGAAACAAGTATGGAGTGTATGTCCGCATTACTGAGTTCGTCCCTTGGATTAAGAAGCAAATGTTCTAGTGCCTCTCTTGTGCCCGAACCTTATGTTAAAATTAATAGTAACTAAGTTTAAGTTTCATTTTATGACGTTATGTAACATGCGCGGTCAACTTCGTAATACGCAGGCGCCAGGATTATCCGTGGGCGAGAAAACAAGAAGTAGTCTAAGTAGGTTGTGAATCAGTGTTTCATTTTTTCTTACCTTAAACCTCACACTTATATCATAGCTTGGCAGTCTAGAAATATGTGGGTTTTATTGTTTGATGCGGGTTAATTAAGTTTAAATGTCCCTGTTAGGGCGTTGTATATGAGGCTAAGAGCCTCTGTATGTCGCAATTGCTTTGCATTCAATCTCTACTACGCGAACAGGTGTTTATATAGTTGTAAAATTTAACGAATCATTATATAGGAGAAATGTTAACCATTTCCTGATCAATTTTTTATTTTTAAAACAATGGGAAATGTTACCAAGGCTATTACGGGAAAGAAGCGTATATTCAGGTGTAGAATACTTTTGCCTCTGTAGCTTATGCTTGTAAATACAACTGATTTTTAAGTCTCTGTCACGGATATTGTTTACTTAAGAGATGGGCATCCCCTCTGTCTTTTACCTTATTTAGTTTGGGTGGTTGGTTTTCACTGGAATACTTCTATACAATAGATAGGTGCGAACTCCTAGAAACCTCTACTTCTTTTTCAGATTTGAACGTCCCTGAAACTTTCCGACGCCGAGCAGAAAGGTTTTGTGAATAGCATCTTCTGACAAATGTTCACTCGTCAGTTGCGAGTTAAGGCGATTAACAGGGTTGATCTACTTGGAAACTTTCCATAAGTTACACCTGCTTATGCTGCGTTCACACAAACAACTCAGTTAATTTACAGTGTACAGAACCAGTGCGCTGCGTTCACACACACAATTTCGTAAATTTACAGTGTACAGTGCCAGAGCGTCTATTTCTCGTGGGAAGGTAACTGTAGCCTTATGTGTCGTCTTTTAATTCATTAAATTCCTCACTTTACCTTTTTAAACTGATGATTTACAGTGTTTTAATACAAGATGTCCAAGAATGTATGTTGAACAATGAGCTTTTGTCAACATTTAGTTTCGAGAGGATGAACGTCAAAAGGTTGGAAAAAAAAACTTAGTTTGGAAACTAACTTCTTGCGGGTTAAATTTATCATGACTACGTTACCATAACGCTTGAGCTTTAATAAGAAACCCACAAATTAGACGAGTTAGAATAAGCACACCCATTCACGCAAGAACAAGTTTGCTGTTACAGGGGCGGATCCAGGATTTTTTTTAGGGGGGGGGGTGCACTCGTCTCTTGCTCTTCTTCAACACCAATAAACCACATAGTTTTTTTTTTTGGCGGAATACCAGTTGTATTAGAAAATCGCAGGTCATTTCGGGGGGGGGGGGTGCGCCCCCCCTGCACCCTACCCCTTGATCCGCCCCTGGGTTAGAACAATCAGGTACTTCATGGATGTAACCCAGAAACTTTCTTTACTGTGTAACAGTAGAGGCCTTCAAATACCTTTTGTTCCAAATCTCTTCCTTGACTTTCGTAGAATGGCACTCCTGATTTGTTTTACAGCCATGGTGATAGGAAAAAAAGTAGCAAACGCATTTCAGTGTGTATCGGGCCTCCGTGATATATATCTTTCTGGGAAAGACTTGGTAGCTTTATTAAGCGTGTGCAAACATTAATCTTGTTTCTGTTAAAGCTCTTTTTGCAATAAATGTAGTAGCGTTTTGTTATGATAATAAATTTATTTTCCATCATTCTAAAGTTTTTTTATTTATACAGGTGATATAGGTTTTAGTCGAGTTACATTGACATCCCTTTAAGTCGAGAGTATGCCGCTGTCCCTCAGTCAATAGTGAACTTACGCAACAGGACGGGAGAGGAAAGAAGACGGCAAACCTTGTGTGACAAGCGTGACAATAATTTTGTTTTAAATGACTTTTGGCCAAACTCCATCTTTCTTTAAACAGACCTTTTTGTAAAAGACGAGAAAACATTAATGGTAATTGAACATCACGATAAAACTCGCAAGTAATAGGCCTGTCACGTTTGTCATACACAAGCGTTTTGCCGTCCTCTTTTTCGTGCTGTCCTGTTGAACAGTTCGCCACTGGAAACTGGGTCGAGTTAACTTTTTGTAAAGACTTCTGGGACCGTTAATTTGGATTTAAAAAAAAAAAAGAAAAGAAAAAGAAAAAAAGAAGAAACTTGGCCAAAAGCTGACGGACGCGTTCCCCGTAACAATCCCAGAAACAACTGCGGGACACATCTCGGCCCCAGTCCCCTTCTCGTTTCTAAAGCGGCAAATTCACACGCAAATTACAAGCACTTGAGACGAACCATACGAGTCATTAGCCCTGAAAATCTCTTTGCAATGTTACACAGTTTAAATAGAGGTTTCGCTGTACGCAACCCTTACGTTCAAAATATACCATAATCATATTTATCTATCGCAAGAATCATCCACCCTTTCCCCTCAACTACTACCTGTACGCCTAGCAAACATATCGAACGCACTCTCCTAAGCGTCGATTACTCCTAGTCATATGCAAGGTGCGTACAAGGCCTCGCTTTGATGAAGAGGCTCATGACAGTTCGGAAATGGGCTATTGGAAATCTGTTATGTTTGTATTAGATTACAGTAGAACCCCGTTGATACGGCCACCAATAGGCCCCAAAAAATTGGCCGCATTAACGGGTGGCCGTATTAACGATGGTTTATTTACAAGAAAATGTAAGGCAGTTTTTGCCAGACAGCCAAAAAAAGTGGCCGTGATAACGAGGTGACCGTAAGGAGGGGTTTCACTTCATTTTACTTGAGTAGGGTAACTGACAACTAGCAATAGCAGCTTAGTGCTCCTCCACCAACCATTGGCATCATTTCTCTTGCTTGTTTCTTGGTAGTTTTGTTTGTTTGTGTTGTTATTGCTTACTTTTTACAATCTCACAGGGCCGCGGGCTTTAAAAAACTTTGCCTAAACAGAGTTGATGAAATGAAACACCGATACCAGGGTGTGCTAGGATGGGTAGCCTGCACTGCACAGGCCCGCAAAGCATTGTAGAGCGGTATAGAGTGTCTGCGACACAGGCTACAGGATGGGCACCCCTGTCTTTGAAATAAACAAAGTAGTATTCTGCACACACGTGTTAATACTTCTTTAATGAACTCTTTAAACTTTTGTGAAATTTTCTACAATTAATTGATATTTACAAGTTTGAGTGACTGTTACACGCTGTCTAGATACTAGAAAATTAATACTCGTGTGTCCATGAACTTGCGAAGTCAATATAAAAATAGAATTCTACACTTTGGTCTCAATTCTGAATATATTAGAAATTCATTTTGAAGAGATGTTTGAAACCTCAGGGCTTAAAAATTCAGATAGTATGTAGCCTTTAAAGCAGCAACTATAAAAAACAAACAGTTTTGCATAACCTCAGTCGTCCCAGGGGAGACTGAAGCCAATGCCTGTAAAAAACATTTTTATTTTGGGGGGCGGGGGACAGGCAAACCAGGTGCCAGGTGCATTATGGGAGATATGTAAATCAGTGGTAACAGGAGACAGTACCTATATATTGCTATAATAGTATATTGTAATGAATTCTACCGCGATCAAACGCGCCGTCTAGGGTGTTTTGTTTTATTTGCTAAGATATCATGAAACATTAAGTGGAGAAATGGACAAGGATAAAATAATTTGTTACCGTAACTATCATTTCATTTTTCTCAAACTATGGAGCTTCGTTCCCTTGAAGACGCTTTGCGCCTGAGTAAAATTATCCTCGCAAATGACGTCGATAATTACGCCCGTTTCAGTTTTCAAACACTCAGAACACTTTCAAAAACGAAGTAAATTAGCACCGTCTTTTACAGTGAATGTAACATCCCTAGCGTTAAAACTTGAATTACTGCTTCGCTTCTGTTAATGACTCGCGTCCTTCAAATGGCAAAGAGGTCAGAATTTACTCGACCTCTGTCATACTGATAAATTTTTTTTCTAAGTAAAAACAATAATCTTTACAGATCCTTCAAAAATGATACATTAGCGAGTACATAAACTATTCCCGGGAGTTATTCTGTCTATTTTAAAGTGAATACTCTAACTAAAATAAGACTTAAGGTAACACTTTTTTTGAGACACTTGACAGAAATGACCTTAATTGGACTTCGTCTCCCGGATTTGAATTTATGCTAATTTGAAACAAAAGTTAAACAGCTAAGTTTGCAACAGGAAGCAGTTGCAGCTTCAGTTATAACAAAAAACCATACTGTTGTAAAGCTGGAATTTTCTCCCCAACAGCGCGTGCTCTCATTGATTACTTCGAGGTCACATGACGTCTAACAATAAAACTGTTTCCCGCCAAAATTTCTCAGCGGGCAACATTGCAAAATCTATGACGTCAAGAGAGTAACGGTGCACTGTTACCCGCGAATGTTGACCGACAACCGCCGTTACAGCGAGGTTTAATGATATTCCAACGTCAAAATTTCCAGCTATATAACAAATCACTTAAAGACTGGTTCCTCGGAAAACAGCTAATTTTGTTTCCCTCGAATCTCAATGTTTCCTTCCCTCGGGACCAGTCATTAAGTGTTTAATATATAACATCAAAGAACAGTGAGATTTGTATTAAGCAGACTCTTACGGGGCCCTGTGGGTGTCGCTATATACATGCAGATTCTTTTAAAGAAAAGGTGTGTCTGTGTGTGTTTTGCGCTTTATACGGCGGTCCATTTGATACAATTTTCACTGTCCCTTTTTTCCCGTTCAGGATGTATATCAATGTCGTGAAAATCTTTGTTAGCTACTGCCCCTTAAAACTTACCATTCCGCACTATCTGTTTAAATGAAACTACTTTGAAATTAAAGCTTTAATTCTGTTTAAATTAAACCACTTTAAAATTTCATACACTGGCAGAAGGAAATGAGACTCAGTCTCGCGCGTCCCGGAGATTCATGATTATTTTCTGTATTTGGAATCTCTCGTCAGGTAGGCTTTATACCTCTTTTTATAGTGGGACTATATAGTATAATATAGAACAAAACAAAGCTATTTCGACTACAACTTGGTCAGTGACATATGACAGCAAAGGCCGCACTTTTTGTTCTTCTCTTTAGAAAGAAGTGTCATTTTCAAAGACAAGGAATTATACACAGGCCTGTACTTTTTTGTCACTCACCGCCATAAGTACGTACCACAAAGCAAATAGCCTGAATACACTGCAACGAGTGCACTTTCCTTGAAGCAAAATTGTAATTGTATCGCAAGAGGAAACTCACTTGCATATGCTGACCTCCACCCTTTTGTGGCACTCGCTGCATTTAACATAGCAGCACCAGAAAAATTTACAGTTACAGCGATCGACTCGATGCTCCAGATGCGTTGTAAAGCCTCGATTGCAGCACATAAACGCGCATCCCTCTATTGCTTGAGAGGTTCGATTACAAAACCTTCCTTGGGTCCCCAAGGAACCTGTGCTTGGATCTGCACTGCAGAAATCTGGTGAGCCGTTAAGATAAACAAGGTCATATTTGGTGTAAGGTTTGTACTCGGGATTTCGTGGAACCAGAACTGACTTTGATCCTATCCGTTGGTATTGTACTTCAGTGGCACCGTCGAATTTCTCCTTGATATGTTCTCCGACCTTCCTGAAATTTGGCAGAGATCGCCAGCAAGTCTTAACATTACACGACCCTGACACACCGTGGCACTTGCACGGGATTTGTACAAACTTTCTTAAGGCCTGAAAACATAAGACACACAATTCAATTATTTCAAAAAGGATTAGTCCATAGTTTCACAGAGCATTGTTTCTGTATGATCATTTGTAAATGACACTTTCTCCATATACCGTAAAATTCTGAAAATAAGCCCCTCCACGTATAAGCCCCACCAAATATAAGCCCCCCAAACCAGTAACGCAAAAAACCCTCTGTTAAATCGCCCCTCCAAATATCAGCCCCCCGGGGGCTTGTACTTGGAAAATTGTCCTTGAATACAAAGTAAAACAAAGCTAAAACGGTACATTTACTTCCAACTATAAGGCTAGCTAGCCCAATCGATTTTAAAACGCAAATATCCCTCCGTAGATAAGCCCCTCCAAAAAAAAGGGCCCCTCAAAAAGGGCCTTTGAAAAATATAAGCCCCGGGGATTATTTTCGGAATGTTACGGTATTTTGCCTAGAGTCCATTATTGAGTTATTTCTAGTCGGAAGCAAGAACGCTTTCGTAACTGCGTATAATGTACTAAATTCTGGGAGCTTATTGACTAACTGGAATGCGCATTAGAGACTTTGATAAGCCACTGGAGCCGAAATGCGTACCGCAAGTGTTTCTGGGATCGTTATTATTGGCTATTTTTTTCTCTGTCCTAAGTAACAGTCCCAGTGGCCTTTGTGAAAATCAACTTATCCCAGTTCCTAGCCTGCGAACAGCAGACGCATTTCCGGTCGTCGCTTCTCTCCCTCGGAGAGAGAGAGAGAGAGAGAGAGAGAGAGAGAGAAGCGACGACCGGAAATGCGTCTGCTGTTCGCAGGCTACCCAGTTCCCTTCTCGCTTCTAAAGTGACGAATTCTCACCAGTCTCCCCGCCATATTGTTGTGCAGATTCATCATAATACGGGCAGGGTTTCCTGTTCTGCCGCGTTCTCTTGCGTCGACAAACTTTGTCGAGAATTCGATTCCATACTCAATGTCATCACTGCATCCGGCCCACTTCCAACCCTCTTCAGCCTCTCCGGTGTATTTTTGGTCGCACCCACATTTTCGGCCCAGTTTGCCGGCGCTACACGAATGCGTTACAGCATATGCCACACCAGCTGACGAAATGGAATGAACAAATGCGGCTTCCCTGGTTCCTAGTCAATTAAAGAAAAAAACAAAACAAAAAAAACTTATTAACGTCATTAAATTCTGTCGAAATTCATAAGTAGAGGAATTGCCGCTTCAAGCAAACAAAAAACTTGGAAAAAATACTGCGAGTTGTTTAAGGCTCGAATGAGGTTCTAACAATATCGATAACCTTGTATTTTTGGTATGTACATGTATTTAGCGTACTTGTTAGAGGAAAAAGCGAGCGAAAGGCTTCAAAGTGATGTAGAACAGTATTAGTCTATTAGAAAAAACATTAGCCTAACCATAGTTAATTAAACTGGAATGGTTAAGAAACCCTTTGTTATAAGTTTTTGTTAGCTTTTTTGGACCTGACCGTGGACAACGTTCGATAGCATTCCTATCATTTTGAAGTTATTGACCAATAGAAACAATGCATTAATTTATTCAGTCATAATTTGTGAACAGAAAACAAAGGATTGTGCACGGTCAGGGAGCTTGCAACATAACCTACATCCCCATTGTTTTCAACTTTGAAGGTTGCCGGGTTTCCTAACCAGTCTCCACTACTAACTCTGCCCTAACAAGCCCTTCATGTAGCCTTTCTACAACCTCCCCTTCCCCAGGGAAAAATTGGAGAAGGGGCCCCTTCTCCGATGGCTGATTCAGCAACAGAACGGGAACGTCAGTTGACGACGGCGCGCGCAAAGTAAACAACTGGCTTGACCAATAGCAGAGCGGCAAATTGATTACCGGAAGCCGCGTTTAGTCCTTTCCGCGCGCTTTCCTGTCGTCAACTGACGTTCCCATCCTGTTGCTAAATCAGTCTTTTCGAGGAGAGGGGGCGGCTGTACACAAGCTAACAACACCTTACACCTAACAGGACAAAACTAAAGAACAACAACGAAATAAATGACTATTTACCTCCGTTAGCAGAATTTCCGAAAACAGGTGATTTTTCAAATTGAAGGGTAGTGCAGTTCCATCTTCTGTATCTGAATTGGTGCTGGCATTCTTGTACAGCGATTGTGGCTCCAAATTTCACACTGTTCATTACATCTACATTCCTCTTACACACTTGTACCTGTTTGTAGCTGAGATGGTTGTCAAAATCATCGCAGCTTTTCCTGCTGCTAAAACTGCTTACGGAACTTGTAAGAGCCAGTGATCTTTCAACAAAAATACAAGAACCAGTGAAACATTACTGCAGTGCAATGGTAATAAGGAATTTCTTAAGTTTAAAAGTTTTGAAGTGTTTGCAAGCAGATACGATGTCAAAACCTGTCTTCTCTATTGCGTAGCGTGCTTACGCCACCACCCTTAGCGCATAGGGGGTTAAGGGTTTGCTTGCTCCTGAATAATTAACAATTATTCCTCGAGCACGAATTGGCTCTGAGTCAATAGCCCATGAGGCCAAAGGCTGAATGGGCTATTGACTCAGAGGCCCCGAGGGCGAGAGGAATAATTGATTTAGTAAAATCCAACTAGTTGCTCAAAAATATCGAGAATGAAAAAAATTTAGCTAGTTAAAGCTAGAATTTAATCCTTTTTTGCCGCCAAAAAGCCCGCGCTTTTCGTTACTAGGGGGCTATAACAAATAGCCTAGTAGTAGCTCAATCAATCAGAACGCAGCATTGATAATAGACCACTAGTTAAATTTTACTAACTTAAAATATCTTATGGCTTAAAAATGTCGTATTATAGTGAATTTTCTTTAAGGATCGTATCAAAGAGACATGAATTGAGGCTCTTTAAAAAAAACGGATCAATTTAGGTTTTTGGGAAACTGCCCACCTACCCCCCCCCCCCCCCCTGACCCAACCCTAAACCTTTTTTTTCTTTTCGGGAAAAATTTTTATTTAGGGGAGGGGTAGGGGGGCATTTTCCCAAAAACCAAACTTTGTACCAAAAAAAAAAAAACACAAAATAAAAACAACCACAAACACTTTCACATACATTATAATATTTTTTATTAAAATGTTTATTTTTGTTTATTTTTTTTGAGGAGTATTAAAAAAAAAAAATAAATTGGTATATTTAAAAAAAAAAGGTGTATTTTGTGTTTTTGGGAACCCCCCCCCCCCCCCCCCCCCCCCCCCCCACTGAGCCAACACTAACACTTTCTTCTCGTTTAGGGAAAAATGTTGATTTAGGGGAGGGGTAGGTGGGCAGTTTCCCAGAAACCTAACTTGGTACCAAAAAAAAAAACACCCAAAGTTAGCCAACACTCAGACACTTTCTCGTTACCGTTAATGTTTTTTAATCTTCCAAAAAACGTTCAAGCACCTTTTTTCATACACGAAACGAACATCAGGATCATGAAATTCTTTGATATAAGACTAAGTTAAATCAATAGTCAACAACAGCTCATACTAATTACAGGAGAAAACCTTTAAGCCAATTTGATCCAAAGCCGTTTGCTTGAATTAAGTGCGTCCGTTGCGCTACTGAAAACATTCAACACGATCATGTTGTGGATAAAACAAGGAAACGTTTGGACACTCATTGTAACTGATCAGTAGCAATTGCGACTATGACAACTACACTGAGCACATCAATCGTCTGAGATAACCTTGTTTTCGAAACTGCTATCAATTTGGTATGGTACTTGAAAAAAGCTGATACTTACAGCCACTGGCTTGGCGTAACTGGAGTGATGAAAACGAACACAAACTGTAGCGCTACCAAGACGTGAACCAGTCGATCAACCTTGAAAAACACCATGTTAGTTACGGTCCAGGCGGTGCCTTTATCTGATGAAGAAGAAAAGAGAAAGTTTATGATCAGAATTTGATGAACAAAAGAGTAAGATGGTCCACGAATGAAAAACCCTTGGCGGGTCTATTTCAAAGTAAAGCCGCCGCCTTATAACATATGATAACCTACACAAAAAGTAATACTTAGAAGTCACCGCAATTTAAGTCAATGGATTTTGGTTATTGGCAGAAACAAAGCATAATTATAAAATGCTACTGGGCTAAGATATGATGTAATGCTAAATAACAAGCAAAACCATCTATCTCTGAGAGGATTTTGCATGTTCATGCACGCAACAATAAAAAGAACAAGTTCGAAAAATGGAAGTTATATTTTCATTAAACAAAAGTACGTCCAATGTAGAGCTAATACGTAATTACTAGTTTGTCACTTCACTGACTTATTGTTAAGCACTAATGTCTTTGTTTTCGTGAACAATGAAAAGTTGCTATAAAATTCGTGATAAAAGTGTATGATAATTATCTCCTCATCTTATGACGTTAAGACAGCTTCGTTGGGCTGGGTTGAAAATTGCATATAATGAACTTCTGACTTTAGTTCCAGGTACGGTGTTGTCAGAGATATCAAATTTATTTTCTAACGCAAAACTAAATTTATTTTCATTATTTTCAGGCTAGAAACTTTTCAAGAGAAAATAACCTCATAATAAATGACTGCACACTTTGTCTGCTTGGCTTAATGCGTGCGTGTTTGGCACTCGATCACGAGCGAATTTTACGTAACACGAGTTCGATTTTCTACAATGCGCAAGTCACATCAAACGTCTCTAAGAGGTAAAACTCGAGTACTTTCATAGTTGGAGAAAGTGAACAGTTTTATACATGATATATCTCATCTTAAAAATAAATATCACCACAGAACTCGCATAGACGAAAAAAGTTTGGACCAGCCGAAGTATCTGTTTTAGAAAAGTCTCCGCTTAACAGAGTATAACGAAATAATTGAAGCATGTTAGAGAAAAACTTTGGGTTTCCGACTTGAACAGGTGTCTCTTAACCGAGAGTCTACTATATGGTGACACCGATATCACCGAAAATGTTAATATTCGTAGTTAGAAAACCTTATCGTCTTTGCGTTTACTCAGTTTAAGCTCTTAGCGATTTACAAAACTGCCGAGTCATTTGTCCACACACCTGGTTCTAATATCAGACCTGACTGGTCTGATCGATTTAATTGCCTTTGTTAACTTTTTCTTTTACAAATGACCCTTAAGTGATTTAAAATACCATAAAGGACAGAGTTATGTGTTCCTCTTTCACTGAGAAGACCGTTGCAACACTTAGGGAAACATTTTGGCAAAATCGATCTCGATGGTTACTTTGGGAAAATAGCTTGAAAAGAAATTTTGTGAGAAAGTTACATTAGCTGTTATAAAAAGTGAGCAATGATTTGCGTTCCTACCGTACAGAGTTTATATCAATGTTCCTTAGCTGCTGAAGTGATGGGTTACCTATTCCTTGTCAGCCAGTCTTTATGCAGTAATTGCTCGTTGCCCGTGGCTCGCGCCGCAGTCTCTATTGAGTTCGTTTCGCGGGTCGATTTCATTTTAAGTCTCGCAATAGTTATTTGTAACGCCTTCGCGTCCCTTGGGACCTCACGCCCAGACAAACCCAAACAACTCATGTTTAAAAAGAGTGATGATGAGTGTCTGCATCAATTTCATGTTCTTTTCAGGGCGAGGGCTTTCAGTCAGGTGTATAACGATAAGATTTTAACTATTTATGCGACGATACTGGCATCAGTAAAGTTAACCGCCTCGTACCAGTTGTCCAGCACGTTCGTGTTTACAAACAACAATAAAGTCTGTAAAGTGTCATAATTAATATCAGCTCAGAGTGGGCATTATGTAAATAAACAATTATCCGACCAGAATACCATGTTTATATCATGTTTTAAGGACTGCTAAATTTTCACAATACTTCTTCTTAAACCCTTAATCTCAGCAATCGGTTTGATTAATACTTTTCACAAGTTTTATCATACTTGCGGTTACTTCTGTGAAGTTCCGAACGAACATTTTCATTCAAACTGTTCTAGAAATATGACAAGTATCTAGCAAAATAATTTTTAACTAAGTCAAACTATGCCAAACATTTTATTTAAGCCTTCCGAAGGAACTTATTTAATTAAAGGAAGTTAGCGGGATAAATGTAAACAATAAAAAATATTATTGCAGATTAGCCGCCTAATCAAGAACTGTAATTAAAAGTTTTATATATGTACTGGATATTGTTGATAAGGACCTCTGTGCCGATTGCGCTGGGTTTAAGGTTGTAAAAGCTTGATATTAGAGAAAAATACTTACTTTGGGTTTGGTTTTGAGGGTCTTAGAGCTATGTTATATTCTTTGACTAACGAAGCTTTAAGATTTATAAACTGATCTATAACAGTGTCTCATAACCCTTAAGTAATAATATCGTTTATTATAACTAATGGAAGACCAGATCTCTGCTCTTAAACTAATCACTTACGTGTTGTTGCATTCTACATACATGAAATGACCTATTTACAGGCGTTTGTGTAATAAAAAGCTTAAGGTTTCAACAACAAATCATGTCTTGATGAAGAAAACAAAATGGATGGCATAAAACTACGAGGCATTTTACTTTTGCACGCAAATTAATAATTTAACTGTTGAAGTCACTTTTTACGTAAGGTGGTAAAGTCACTAATAAAATTTAAGATCTAAATGTTGTAAAAAATCCTCAACTGGACCGAAAAACAAGAGAAGTAAAAGGCTTCATATACATAACTTCAATGAATAAAAAGTGATTACATTAACAAAAGAAGCAATAATTTTTCATTTGGTACACCGGCAAGAACCAGTCTCAATGATTAGCACAAGATCAGACTTATTAGTTACCACAAAATCATCTCCGCTGTTCAAATTCAGGGTGTATGGCGAAACGGCTGTAACTTATCAAGCCGAGAAAATCGTGCTTCGCAGTGTTATTTACGCGGCTGAAAGTACGTTCGTTACCTAAGGAACGAAAGCCATTATCATATAAACATAAACCCCCAAAACGACAGCCGTTATGATTACTTGTATTATGCAACTTTTGGCTTAAATTTAGTGTCGACTCACAGGTAAGTGATATCTCGAGGGGGGAAAGGGGGAAAATCAGGAGTAAACTGAATGAAACAGTGTTTGATTGAGGATGAGGAGGAATCAGTTTTGGTTCTGTTTCTTCGTGGTTCGAGTTATCGTGTTTCCATTACATATATGACCGTCATTAACAGATTAAAATTCTTAACTAGGTCATTCCAAATTTTTCACAAAACTGTAAAACATGGATAGGGAAAATACCGTCAGCCGCGCCCCGAAAAAATGCTCCTGTTGTTCATAGTCTGAACTAATGAAATAAATTTAGTCTATCTGGTTGACCCACGTTCTCTAATTCAAGGAAATCTCTATCGAAAGTAAAGTTAGATGCTTTTTGATCAATTCTAGACTAGTCACGACTTTGCTACAAATTATTAAAATAAAAACTAAAGATGATTAGAAGTACTTGCCTACGACGCTTCTTATTTTCATTTCCATGCTGTTTCGCGAGTGAAACTGCCGAAATCTTTTAATGTTTGCAGCAGCCAGCTGTTTAAGCAATTCAGTCTGTCACACCCACACACGGCATGTCAGCCATGGCAGTTGTATAAAACAAGTTTAAACGAAGCAATAATCTGTTTACTGCAGTTATTTCAAGTGTAGTCGTGTTTATACAACGGTATACTCAGGAGCATACTGAACCTTCATAGCGTGTTCGCTGTGACCCGTTTTCTTTACAAAGAGAGATTATACAGCGTCCCCATACCTCTCTCATTCACGAAATAATCGCATCATTTCACGCTCGCGTTCACGCTAAAATCATTGCATGAGAAGTCACGAATCACAAATAACCGCACGAAAGCGTCACGCTTTACGGCTGAAGAAATGGCCCAAACCACGTTTCTTTTCTCTGATCAAATGATTTACAAGACGGGCTGAACTTTGTTCCGACCACGTGACCAAACTTTACTTTAAAAAATTCACTGAATGATAATTTATGAAATAAAGTTATGCCTCTTTCATCATGACTAGGGGAGTACTCCAGGAAATTCGTGATGGGGGTATGCCGCCCGGTTCTCCAAATCCTCTTCTTATTTCAGACCAAAAAAAATGACATTTTTCACTTCTGTTTTCAGACCTGGCCTCTAAGAAATTATGTGATCATTACTGACTAACAGCAACAGAAAAGATTTCTTAAAATCCATTGCGAATTAGCATGTTTCTCTTCCTTTAGAATTCATCGGCAACTGAAACGATAAATACGTTCATACACTCCCGTAGTTCCCTCGAAAACCAAACCCGATTCCAGACATAAAATGGGCAAAGTCTATGCCCTTTTTCAGACCAAAACGGCGCAAGAATCACACCCTTTGAGGCGTAAATACCTATATGGCTTATGTAAGGGAGTAGCCCTCCCTCCCCCCCCGGGTATCATGTTCGATTTAGGGACAATTTCTCAAGGGGGAAAGCTGGAAACTTTCACAGCTGTTTTCTATTTTTGTTTCCCTCCCGGTGATAACTGTTTATCAATATCTACAAACCCACTTTCTACAAGTCATATCCGCGCCGCATTTAAGATAATTCATGGCAAGTTGAAAACACGTGCGCTCCCAGAGGGACAAAGGTCAGTCTACTGACTTTGGGGGAGGGGTTGGGGCAAGATAGAACGTGGACATGGGGAAATAGTTAACTCCTGTTGATAAATGAAAAGGTTAACACTTTGTTATCGACAGAGGATTAAGGGATTGTTAGTGGAATGTCAAAAGGGATGTACAAATAGTCAACATGCTCTCACGCGCTCGCTTTGTCGTGAACAAAACGGAAATTCAAACAAGGATAACAAAGAATAAACTGATCATCGAAATGACTTTTCCAATAAGCTGTCAAACAATCTTGATAGAAG